AGGGAGGGGCACAGAACACCCGGGTGGCCATGCTCAAATCCAACAGCCTGACCTTCACGCCTGTAGTTGTGTCGCAGCAGCCGCCTCTCCGTGACCAACACGGGTGCCCGCGACCCCTTAGCGTCACGCCCTCTAACATCCAGCAGCGGCGTTCAGGCCCCATGTCAGACCATGCCCGCCGCGCCAACTACCGCGCCACCAAAAATGTGTCTTTTGATTGTGAGACGCGAACAGAGACTTATGAGACAGAATTGACCGAGTCTGAGACAGACGAGCGAGAATTTGTTCGATTAATGGGTTACTGGGAGAGACGACCGCACGTACGGTTACCCCTAACGACAACGAAGAGTACTGCGCGCCAGGCAAGGAAGAGCAGGATATGCTACCTAAAGTCCTGTGTTTCGCCTTGGCGCTGGTCATCACGGGCGGCATCCTGTACGGCTTAAACCTCCTCATCTCCCGCATGAACATGAACCTCTTCTCCGCTTGAGTGTGAGGCCCGCACCCCACACTGACGCAGTTTGACCTCAACAGAGTCTCTAAGGTGCGAGTCACCAACACTTGTACCTGTCAACATTTTTTTTTTTTCTCTCCACTTGACTTATTACAATGATTTTGCATTGGTAGATGATAACAGTATGTGGGGAGTTTTTTTTTTTATCATTCTTATTATCAACCCTTATGTGTACAGCGGCTAACTGGCTACAGCGTTCGTCTCCTCTCTTAATTGCTGGTTCGATCTCGAGGCATCCCCCTTGCTTAACTGTTGGGAAAGTGGAGGCGGTGGAGTGCAGCATCGGCCACACTGCTTCCTTATTCACCGAAGACTTGGTATAGATTGTGTTTCATCCATACTATCCCTACAGGACCGTCACGCCTTTCGGACTCACTTTTACTTCTTATTATCAACCCCCGCACAACCGCCTCCAGGACCATCACCCCGCATACCAATGTTTGACGACGGCTGGGCTGAAACTTAAGTACAAATTAGACCAATGACTCATTTTAAACTGAGATAATATTTTGCTTCTTACCGATATATCATCCAGGCATCGTGTGTGAGTCTCTTCCGGGCACAAGATTATTGTTGTAAAGCTACTCTTAGTTTTTGGTTACACTGACGTACTTCATAAATACTTCTCGACCACCCTTCATGGACACTGACCCCCCCCATCATTTCCATTCCGTCTTCATGTGCCCCGCGAAACACGTAAAAGGAACGAGTACTCGGTAGTTTGTTCGTTTTCTTGCCTCTCCGGGCGATATCTCGAGCACTTATTGAGCTAAGAATATGGCAAAACTAAATTGTGTAGTTATATACTTGTATTATACTCACTGTACACAGTTTGTTCATGGCCTGCGGGGGGCGGTGTTCATCGACTGTATTTATTATCCTGGTACCACTTAAGTTTATCCTTCGGTGTGAGAAATGTGATGTTCATGTTGAGACAGTGCTGAGGATAAGACGTGTGTTCCTGTGACTCATAATATTGAGGGTAGAAATATAGTGTGGGCGGGAGGGGCAACCATAGGAGTGGCACCATTCTAGGCTTCAGGGTGAACAACGTGTCTTTCCACTCTCATGATCCGTGTGTGGCCAGCGACCCCTGCGGTGTACAGTATGTGTTTGTAGAGGTGGCCCCTTTGGTGTTGTTATTGCTGTGTGTGTGAGAGAAAGAGAGGAAATTATTTGAGTTTGTGTGTTTAATTAGATAGTTTTGTGTGTGTCTATCTGTCTGTGTACGAGTTTATGTCTGTTAGATTCACATGCATGTTAGATGTACTGTACGTGCATTGTTATACGTATGGTTGGCGTTTATTGGTCCATCACATAACGCTGTATATACTAACATCTAATTGGCTCTCTTCATTATCGCTGTTGGTTCGCCATGTAAACAATCTATTGTGGGTGGGGTACGTGATGTTTGGGTTCACACTCAGGATGGGATGGAGAAAGGAAACTCACAATGTGCTCACTGTATACATATTGTATTGGATGTACAATGCAGCTTGGTGCTGGGAAGTGGCAGCGTGGTTACAAGCGTGATGTAGAGAGCTGGTTGGTGAGGGTGCTCAGGGGAGGACAGCTTGTGGGTCGCCATCTCGCCGGCAGGGCGAGGCCGCCAGGCAGCGGCGGAGGAGGTGGTGTTGCTTGCTGCGGCTGTAGCTAGAAGAAGAGAGAGGTCACCACGAGGTCAGGTCTTAAATAGCAGGGTTAGGCGTGGCTTAGTAGTTGACCTCCGTGATGTATGGCGGCGCTGGTTGACCCAGACCACGAGGCATACACTGGGGAATTCGCGGGGTCGGCTACTCAGCGACAAACAGCGTTTGTAGGGGAGAAATCCACTACACTATAAATCGCCTTTCTCCGCCTTTCTTATTGGTCCATCACAAGATGTTTTGATCGCTGACATCCAATCATACGCTTCCATTATTCGCACAGAATCACACTGAAGTCGTCAGCTTTCCTCCCCTCTAATTGGTCTACCACAGAGGCACATAACATATTAAAAACTCAGAACCAATAGAATTTGTCCAGCACGTCAACATTTTTTTCCAGTTTAAACATCCGCTCTCCTTCTCGCTTAGTCCCCCTGAGTTGCCAACAGTGCGTAAAAGAGAATTAGTACATGCCCACAGTGCCTAGCAGAGATGTGGCGGACCTCCTAAGCGGCTAACTGGGCAATCAGTGGCGAAGAGGATAAAATAAAATAAAGTACACTAATGTAAAATAATTCCTCCATCTTAAAACCATTATTAAAAAAAAAAAAGTCCTCCCATATACATATTCAATTTTCTCTTATCACAACATAGAAAATGGAGTTAAATAAACAGTTTCATGAATGAGTTTAAATGCGGGACTTAAATGACTTTGAATGAGTTTAAAAGTGTTACCGTAGTATAAAAGAGACCAACCGAATATCACTTTAATTAAAGGGTTAATAATGACAATAAAAATACAAATAATGAAGGTCATTTGCGAGGGAAACGTCATAGAAGAAACGTGTCTTAGAATTGTTTAAAATATTGATTGCGAAGATAAAATTCTCCAGATTTGTTTGGTAATAATAATAATAATAATGTAGTTAATTAATGACAGTTATATTAAAGAAATTAACCATAGCTATAGAAAATTTAGTAACAAAATGTTCACATACCCGAACTTTAGTTAACTTTTGTAAATTTTAATTTTACGTTACAAATTATTAGCAAAATAATTATAAGAATAGATGGGTTTCAGATTTCATAGGAACCCTAGTACAATATATTGCTTTCGTTAGGTTATATTAGGATATGTTAAGTTAGGTAGGTAAGGTTAGGTTAGATTAGATTAGATTGAGATAAGATAGATTTGGTCACAATAAATTAAGTTAGATTTGGTTTGGTTTGATTTTGTTTGGTTAGGTTAGGTTAGATTAAATTAAGATGAGTTAAGATTTGGTTAGGTTGTGTTAGGTTCCACTCCTATTTCACAAGTGATGTTTTTTCTATTCCATTGTATCCATTTTTAGTCAAAGAAAAACACTGTCATCATGCACATGCCCATTTATTAATGTGACAATATACACAATTTATGTATACGCCTTAATTATATTTGTAAAGTGGGGATAGAATGTTAGTGTATTTGTAATGACTAATTTTACACACTTCATCTCCCGCTACGTAAGTCTTCATCAGGGGCGACCAATCAGCCACCACCGCTTTGTTCACCCTAATCCTCCAGGGACGCCAATGAGACGGTCTTGGTATCGACTACGGCTTTCACTTGTATTGTGAGACGACGAAACAATGACTTTTTTCTTAACAATAACCAGATGCGCTCAGCTGTCAATGCGGCTTTAGAAAAAATGTTACTTGTTGGAAATGCTTCCCCGGCGAGTTGGACAAAGAGTTAATCTTGGCATGTCTGTCTCATGTCGCTGAGATGGAAGAGTGAGGACATGGCGACACAATCATATCCTTTTTTTAAATCATTTTTAACAGCAAAGTCAAAAAAGTAATTTTATTGTTAAAGAGCACAGAAAGAGATGAGACACGTGATATTTGTTGTAGGAAAAAATGTGTGGCTGAGAGTTCCAGTGTTGAGATATCACTGAAGAACCTGACTTTTTGTTTATCTTGCACTGCATAAGTTAACCTTTGTACAATGAGCAATTTTTACATTACAAATTTTTTTCTCGATTCTGATTTACATTTAATCATTTATTATGTCATGGTGATGGTAGTTGGTTCCCCATGAGTTTTCTCTCAGTCTACTACTACAGGTATACTGAATACCCTCATGTGCTGTGTCCCTCTCATAGTTCACATATAACTTGTATTTCACGTAAAGTCTAGGACTCCATATAAAATAAATTCTTGTCTTTTTACGTAAAATTTATTTCCGCCAGAAAACGAGAGAAAGACGGCACTAGATGAGGTAAGTGGATGAAATAAACGGATGACATGACCAGACGGTTCCACCCTGATAACTTTGGCCTAAGTATTTGTCTGACATGCGATGCCTCTCAGACAAAACCAGATCTGGTAGAACACTGCACCGGTCCGTTATTGCCATAGGCTATACATGGACAACTGGTATATACTGGCGGAATGGCGGCGTCTAGTTGGTTGTTTCGTTAACCATTGAGAGACAATCTCAGTCTGGACAATATGATACTTGAGAGGGAAAAGGACTTTTTTTTATGTCTATGCAAGGTAATAGCGTTCCCAGCTACCTGTATAGTGATGTCTGCCTTCCTTTACGTGAAGTGGCAGCAGTATTTATTGGTTTAGAGTCATGTTGAAACCCAAGTATTGATTGTATAAAAATGAGAAGCCCTCCGTTAGCATTGTTACATCTCACTTCCTCTGGACTCGGGGGACGAGTCACATAACAAGAAAATTAAGTAACATAACGAGTCAAAAATTTCATCACATTTTGGTGGTTTAAATTTAACAAACCTACCTGTAAACTATATCACTTCATACTTGTGCTTATTGAACATCTTTATTTACAGGATGAAGTGATTACGGAGTCCCTGAAGGTGTTCGAGGGGCTGTAGTTCCTTCAAGACGTGGCTGCTGCGACCTTGGAGGAGGAACTCCCTCCAGGGAAACGAGGTTGCGTAAACGACTACAACCAAGATCATCTTCAATCAAGAAGTAGGAACTCTCTGAAAAAGGAGCCAGAAGAAGAGCACTACAGGATCCTCATGATGCAAGATCTTAGTAATGGCTTCTTCGTTATGTGCCAGTCACGGGAGTCATTACCCTCGTGATTGTGAGTGAAGTGGTAAACGTCGTTATTCTAAGTCAAGAGAACATAAATTATACGTTTGGTCTAGTTTATGTTATGTGACCTGTGGACGTAATATGAACTCACTGAGCTCAACACGCTATTGCATGGGTGACGGTGATGTACCACTCAACATGCATAATACATAAATGCTCAAAACTTTCGAGAAGCCGAAAATTCGAAGTGTCGAACATTAAACATTATCAGTATCAGTATTACCACATCTCTGTTGACATATGGTCGTTGCATCTTGGCAAGCTTCCCTTGTGTCCTAAACAAACAATAATAGTGCATGGAATGTGTTGGTTACAGTGACTCATATTTATGATGTAGAAATTAAGGGAACTCGGCCATTAAGTTTAGTGAATGGAAGTGCCATACCTCATAAGGGTAGGAGCGTTGTTGTAACTTATGTTCGTCCCACCAACCCCTCACCAGAACCTCGGGTATGGCTCAAGCGTTATGTTGCATCTGCTGAAGCGTCGCCACTGTTGTAGTGATGACAAGGCATTACTATAAGCACAATATCGTTCTGTTAACTGCTCGCTTAGGGGCTCAAATATTAAAAATACCATAGTCTGGAGTGAGCGTGAGTGATCTCGACTTACGCTTACTTAAGAATTAACTTGTAAAAAGATATATACATATATAAATATATCTAAATGTTTCACTATGAATTCTTTTAAGGATTTTATAAGTACTCTAAAATAAATTAACCATCTCTTAATTTTCTTATTCATATTGCCACGAAAATCTTTATTGATAAGAAATTCCATGTACTCAGATATTCCGTGATATACAACTCTCTGTGTTAACAAGGGCCGCTTACAAGAACAGTGTGCATGTCATAAATGATTCTTGTTTGTGTTTAACATGATCGCTTGTTATACCAATTAAGAGCAATATTTGGGAGCTGTTTAAGTGACGACAGGCCCTTGGAGTAGGCCATGTGTTGAACGCTCTGACCTATCTCTCTCTTTCTCCAACCAACGCACCAAGCACAGCCACACCAAAATTCATAAGAATATGAACATTTTTTATCCTGTGAAACAAGAGTCAGACTGCATGCGTGAATTTCATTAAGATTATTAACAAGTATTGGCCCAAATTAAGAAAGAATGTAGAACGGTGTCAGTTCTCGTTATCAATTTACCAGGTCTGTCCAGCTTCGTCTTTTGTGTACGCTTGTTACCGGACTTATCTGTGCGGTTAGAAGTTGAGACAACGATACTTTAATGTAGATACACATGAGACGACAGTTGCCCATACTGACTATAGCCTTCACGATCTATCTCTACTGGTCCTAAAACTTCAGGGTAAACAGTTTCTGCAAACGGTGTTAGAATTCGATGGTGTTCCTGGGGCTTCGGGGGGAATGATCCGGCTCGCCATGTTGTAATGCTCGAGGTCGGTAATGTTAGCGTTCATAACGAGTGCTATCACCGCTGGGGAAATTGTGATGATATAAAAGAGAAATAATTACTATTAAATGTGAATTAGCATTGCTGGGAAAAGTTATGATGTAAAGCAGTGCTGTTACCAATAGGGAAGATTTAAGGCAGAGGTAAGTAATTACAAGGGAGGTTTTATCACTGCTAGGGAGATTACGGTGACACTTAATTTCTGTCCCCTATCTTAGGTAATATTCAGAAATACAGTCACATAATCAAATACTGTTGGAGACCAACAGGAAATGAGGAAAGCAACACTCTCAACAGTTGATTTCCTGCAATCAGTCAGAAAGATCAGTATGTATACAACATTTTACAATGAGAGATGCCGCTACATCACGGTATTAAGGTGAGCCTGAAAAATATTCAATAGCAATTACAAGTTTTCGGCCTAGGTAGAACTTGGTTGATGGCGTAGTGCCCATTGATATGAAATGCAGCGGATAGCGGGCCACTTTGGACGTGAAGACTGACAATATGTGAACGTCAATATTTATTCGTCAGGTCACATGTAAGGGGTGAGGACGTCATGGATCTCTAGAGTTAAGAATTATGTGCCTGCTGGTAGTTGATGCGGGAGCCTAGATGGTAATGCGAGGTTACATTAATTAACAGAATATCTCGCTGCTGCTTTAAAAAGAAACACCTTCAGCTGTAGGTGAGTGGCAATGGATTATAGTGTTTCCCTCGAAGCCTAAAGTTGTAGAACGTCACAGAAACTTGACCTTTCCAATGACTTGAATAGTTTTCAGCAATATCTTATGGTAGGTAGGAAAGTTAGAATTCAGGGTATTTAATCATTCTGCTATAATGAGGTAGCTGCTATAGGAGATTCACCATGTAATGTGGCTACAAATTATGAAGGTTATCAATCATTTTCAATTAAGTCTTGTTCCTTGTGAAGACTTATCTAGAATTATAATTCCTTTAGGCAATAATTAAATATAGAAATCCTATGCTTATAGATAAGCAAATTAGCATCAAGATATTATAACGCCACTAAAACAATCATAGAGCTTTTGTAGCAGTTTTAGATTACAAGGATGATGGCTGTAGATATTACTGAGTTTAAGACACACTGTAATGAAAGCAAATTAAACTTATTACTATTTATATTCTATGGATAATATGCCCTCAGGACAGAAAATCCCCATCTTATTAAGTATACGTTCAGCTCTGTGACTTCATTTCATGATGTTTTTATTGCAGAGTGAATCCAGTAGGCCAGCAAAATAATGATAATAATAGTAAAGGTGATGGTAGTATTCTATACAGAACTTAGTATTGGATGAAAGTTGAGAAAAATAATGAAATAATGGTAATGGTATAGTTTAGTATACAGTACTTTAATTAATATTGCTAAATTGAAAATATTTCGTACTAATTATTGCAAGTTCCCTCTCAGTGGAAATAATGCTATTACATTACTTTATCATCCCTGTTTATATTAACTATTTCAGATGTTTCATATACGGTACAGTACATTACAAGAAAAATATTTCCGTACCTCAAGAATAGCTCATGTCCACCCCCAGGTATTGCTGAATATTGTGATTTCCATTTGCAATTCAACCTAATCTAATCTGACAATTCCATAAATACCCTATACAGTACAAACTTTTTTTTATTAAGGATACCCAGCTGTGTGAGCTCTTACATTAAATAGCTGGGGAACCTGGCTGCGTAAGCTCTATAAATAATTTATTGTCACAGTCTGCTGCTGCAGTTTGTATACATAATCTGATTCTCCTGGTATGAAAACCTAATAGATTTTCCTATTATCATTTTGTATGACAGGTAAATATTTTGTCACAATTTAAAAAAGTGCCAAATGATTAGTTTCTTTAATCACTATTAAATATGAAGCTGTTGATCACTAGCAACTCTTCTTGGACAACATCATATCAAGCATCATTGTGTGTACATCTATAATTTCTCAGGAAGTGATCCATGGAAAGACAAAAATATGTAAAGTAGATTTCCAAGGGTAATATAGTCTATTCACAAGGTAATGAACAACCTATCTTTAATACAAATACTGTAGTCAATAAAATAACAAGAATGTAATTTATTATTGAAAAATGCACTATTTAGTGTCAAATTAGGGTCTCAGAAGAGGTGCAGATTCAAATATGGGGTGCAATGGGCTGCTTCATCCTGCAAATATATAAAGAGCCAATCAGTAACACCTGTGATAGCCAAAATTATTCTGAAAAATTATGACATTAAAAACTCAGATATGGTATTGACTGCTTCGCTCATTGGTGAGATCACTTCCACAACAAAAATAATTATACAGTACTGTACCCACCACTGAAGGACATACATTGTTCTCTCTTAAGTAAATACTATATATACTATACTGTACTATACTTTACCATTGCTATAAGCATAAGAATGAAAATCATTTGTGAAGAAATCCACATGAGTCAACCAAAACTAAGTAAAGTTACCCAAAAATCTAGAGATTTTTGGGTTAGGTTAGATTTGGCTAATTTTTGTTCTTGGACTTGTGAAGGTTTTCAAAAAAAAATCCCCCATGTTTTCTCATCAGACATTTTAGTCATGAAGAGAGATTTCAGTGGAGATCCCTTCCAAAATATCAAGAAGAAAGTAGCAAAGCTCAACTGAACAGTTTGATGTGTTTAATTTGCATTCATGGCAATTGTGTAATTACTGTATTGTTGTTGGTCAGTGATTATGAATAGTAACAGAAGGTATAATAGGTCTGAAGAACTGTAAATAGAGTTACAGACTAAATGCCAACAGTGTTTTATTTTTAAGTAATATCTTCAGCAAGAGGCACTGTACCATCATCTTGACTAATTAAAGACCGTGGTAGCTAAAGACCCACTGTTCACTCTAGTCTTCCTAGATGTTAGTCAGCTAGTAACTCTTTCAGTTGCCCATATTTGAAGAAAAAAGGTGCTTTTATTAGAAAAAACAGCTCCAGATATTTTGCAGGTTAGATGGACTTGTATTAATACTCTCTTGGATCTTGAGCGGTGATAAACTTTCATATGACATTATGAACAGCTGAGCACTCAGGGGTGAGAGGCAGGCTCGTGGTTATTGTTGATATCTACCAACTGCCTTTGGATGTACCTTCCCAGGTAACAAGTGGCAGAATGGCTAATTGCACCAATTCTGTAGGGGGAAAAAAGTGTATTTCTTGAAAAAAAATTGATTGTTTAATTTTGATGGAACAATTGGCTCATACACATACCTGTAAGATATTTAATTTCTGGTACATCTGCTGCTGCCATTTCCAAAGGGAAGTCAGTGCATCCAGCTGCTCAAAATCAAATAGTGAACAGGCAGCAATGCGAGTGACTAGATAATCAAAATCGAGTCAGTAGGGTTACATTGCTGGATCTTGTAATTTTTTTTCTACAGGATGAGCAATTTCATACTGTCTCAAAACTAGTCTGAAGGCAGATGGTGCTACTGTCTCTCCTCTCACACCTTGACTGATGCTCAGTCTTATAATTTTTGACTTCAGTATTAAGACAAAATCACTAGGTTTATGACCTTTAGATACTGCAATAGCTGTCATGAGGGTAATTCCAATGGTGATGCATTTTTGTTATGCAGGCTACTGTTTTATCTTATTACAAGTGTCTAGTCATAAGCTTGAATATCAGACAGTGATATAGACCTCCATTCAGAAAACAAATATATGTTTCTGTATTTTACAACTTATGCTGGCATAAGGCAAGTATGAAATTAAACAATGCCAGTACAGTAGTTGTTTGCATCTGTCAGGATAGCAATAACTTCACAAATGTTTGTTTAGCAGGTATTCCAGTATTAGGTTACATTTGACAAGGTAATGAGTAGGTTAAAGCACCCTGACATATTTGATTACTGTAGTTAAGAAATAGTTTCAGATTTTTGTTACATACACAATTAAAAGAAGTCCTGTACAGAAACCAATTAAGTACTGTATAGTAAATTCAAAATACTTTATAAGGGTACAGTATTGTACTGTAATTCATGTTTCATCTTCTATCAATTAATGGATCAGCAAATATTCACATCTGACATCTGGATCTGTGGAAACTGCTTGCACAGACACTGATTTGCCAGATGCAATTTTTGGTTAGATCCGCATCTTTTCAAAACTAGCCAGACAATTTTCACATCATATTTTATGTTGAGTCAGCAACCATATTGACCTAAGGGATGTCTGTACATGCATCTTTCACCTGTAATGCAGGCAGAATTATGCATGACAATCCCATATCACAGCTCAGTGTCACCATACCTTGAACACATCTCATCAGGGGCACTTCCAGCTGAGATAGGCACATTATGTTGAACAACTGAAAATCTTGTAGACTTCAAAACTGCCAGTTTCCTTGAAGTTCTTTGTATACAACTAGTTGTAATCTTTTTTAAATGTACAATATTATAGTAGAGTGATTTATTTGCTTAAATTTTATTCTACAATACAGTATTTTGAATATGCACTGTCTGGCAATACAGGACAATCTCATTTATGTAAGTTATTTTGAAAAAGAGTTAAATACTGGTATAAGCGTAATGGTTATATAAAGCCAGTAGAAATCCTGTCCACTTACAAATTATGTTTTTGAGTAAGTAAACTAATAATAGAAGTGGAAGAGGAGATAATCACATCCACCATGTGTTTCTGTGATGTGAGTGGTAGTGGACAGGTCTGGTGGTATGGAATGCAATCCATTCCTATATCGCAACTTTCTGTATATGAGGAATGTGGATGGTCCAAGTGCAGCATTGTCAAACTTCCATTTTTCGGAAGAAATATCTATCTTGTTAACTTTACGTGCACTTTTTACAAATTCGCCCATGTTCACATATTTTTACATTTAAAGAACATATCTAGACTTCATATTCATATGTACAAGTTTATATGCATAATTGCATAGTTGATGCCAAAAAATGATGAGTGAAAATATGAGACAAAAAAAGTCCTATGTTTGTGTTGTAATGATGTTCTTTCGTCAGCAAATCACAGTCAAATGTCAGATTGTAGTCAAACACAAAATCTCTTTCATATCTCAGTCAAATTCAGCACTTGTTAATGACAGTCACAGTCTTCGTGCGTCATACTGAGATTCATAAACAATTCTTACCAGTCCTAGTTACTCTGATTGTGTGTGTGAACTTCACTGTACATCCCCGGTGTTGATGCTGCTGCGGGGCCTTCTGAACACTTTAACCTCAACATTAGTTTAACTGCCACATCCTTCTAGCAAAATTCATCTTATATACCACTTCATTTCTTTGTATTACTTATGTGTGATAGATTAATCCTTGTTTGCATTAAGGTGATTTCATGTTTGTAAAAATTAATTTACATAAAAGTTGGGGTGCAGCAGCCACTGACTCAATGGTCATGAGATAAAGTCCCACAGCCAGCCTTTGGTAAAGCACCTTAGGCAACCCAGCAGCAGAATGGGTGCCTTACTTTACATATGGAGAAGTGAAAGATGATAGAGTGTAGTGTCAGCAACACCAAAGACTTACACCCAGAATTTTAATCACCCTTATCAGTTGATGGGGGTTGTTGTGTTTACAACCATACTTTTAAAGAAACTGAGTCACAAAATTTTTTAATACTAGTCTGCAATTCACAATCTGCAGTGGTTTTCCTTCATGACACAGGAGCTCTTGAGCAGGAATAAACTAACTTACAGTACATGCGTCGCCATAATAAGTGGCACTTATATACAATACTGCACAGTCACTTACAGGCATATGGTTATGATTTAAATCGCATGATATGTGATTATCCGTGAAAAATGTATTTTCATTGCCGTGAGTGGATATTTAGTCGTCATAATAATATAATTTCAAGATAGCAATGAAAGTGGACGTAAGACCCCGCTCAACCCTTCTTCTCATCTGCCCACTGTAGTGTGGCTTTCTCAGGCACTCCACATCTGATAATCTTTCTAAGTTACTAGTGATTTAGATTTAACAGCAAAGATTTGGGGTGGTATGATTAAGTAGAGGAAATATGAGCTCAGGAAGCTGGGGAACTGCAGCTGACACCATCTCACAATTATAGCATTGAGTGGGCATAAATTATTGCAAGAAGTAAAAGAAAAATGCCATCATGTGGCTGAAAATGACTCGCAAGTCAAAAATATTATATTTTTGATGATGCTATGCCTCCAGACTCCTGGAGGATAACGCATCTATGGTATGTTTTACATACCTATAACCAAATGCTGCCTCATTTTCTAATTTTGAATCCACCCCTATAAAATGTGATGAAATTGTACTTTGCGTATGCTTGTTCTGTGGTAATTGATGCAACTTTCAACTTCGCAACTGTTTTTACCCCAGTTTTGGGAGCCCCATAACAAAAAAAAATTATGGACATCATTTGCAATGTTTTCCGTTACCCCTTCACACTACTGTATCTATTTTAACTGTACATAGTCCTCATCAAGTCTTTTTTTCATAATTTTTTTATATTTGCTTTCATCATCCTTACAGTCTCATGGAGTCTCATTCCTTATCACGTGCATTTTATACAACTGTTAACAAACTGAGCTAAACCAAACTTTCCCTGCCCCTATTCACCTCAATCTTCAATACTTTTTTGTGATTTATTAAGTAATTCTAATAGACTGGCTTCCTGTCATTGTATGTATTTTTCAGAGTAGCAGATAATGAGTGTATTTTTTTCATCAGTCTAGAATTTAATAATTGCCAATAAGAATTGATAGTTTTTTTCCTAACTCGTGTTTCCAAGCTCCTTATACCTCTTATTGTTTTATATTAACTGCTAGTTAACTGGAGTGTCTCATGATCATTACTGTCTATTGTTAATTTTCCGTGTTTTATCTTCAAATGTATCCATGTGTTGACATTTTTTAACGCGCGCTTTGGGCATATGTACATATATATGGTCAGTTGTAAATATTTGTTACACGACAATTTATTCTACTCCGTTGAAAAAATCATTATCATAAATTGTTCCAAATAAAGCTCATTATACATAAATTGATATTTCATTTTTCCCTTTCAGAAATTTATCTCCTTTATTATTATTTTTTTTATGGGGGTGAGATCAGTTCATAGTACTGTACAGGCAATGATCATTATACTGCACAATGGATCAATGTGCGCTTAATCAGTTATACGATGGAAAAAAGATTAACACCATTTACCACTATGCCTGGTAGAAGGAGAGGTAAGGCGATGTAGCTACAGTGACATCTAACTTGGTGACTTGCCAAGTACACACACACACACATAGTCATTGGGCCAGCCCTTAGATCCCCCTCCTCCCTGGGGATTTTATGGGATGGTGATTCCTATACACCTTAGCAATTGAATTCAGGTTGTCTGCCAAAAATCATCCTCTGTCACCTCAACAGTACACCTTTCAAGTTATATACTACTAAAAAAAATCTGACCAGTTCTACATGGGTTGATGGTATTGTGTTTGCTGGACTTGAACAATTTACGTGACTTCTCTGTGGAGGATTATCAACGAAGGACATCAACAAACTGAGGCACGAGAAATTCTTGGAACTATTTAATAGCAAACACAGAGCACTGTTGACAAGTTGCAGTGGAGTGTACATGAGCCACCTTCCCCCTTGCAGGAATCCCCTGAAAATGCACATCAAAAGGGCTAATTACCAAGTTCTTATATAGAATCAGGCAGCCAAATGAACCCAAGCCACTCCTGCACCAAAGGCTCGTGGCTGGGAACTTGCAAAAGGAAAATTGGAGTTTAAGGGGACAGGTGCCACATGAGCTGATAGATGTGTTGATGGAGGCCCCAGAGGAGGATGAAGAAGACCCAGAAATTTTTAATCTCATGAACTGCATCCTAGAGCATGATGACTAGATTTTGTGACTTTTTTCTGCAGTCTCAACCAAGTAAAATCATACCTGGTCTTTTGATACTGAGAATATTTCCACTGAATGAAATTCGTAAAAATTGCCTAATGTGAAACATGTTTAGTTTTTATTTTAGCATAATAGAACAAGACAGTTTTTTAATGTCTGTCAATGTTTTCAGCTGTCAAGGTGTAAAAATTTGAATGTTATGTTGCTCTTACATAACATGAGCCTACTTCTTAATTCAGAGGAATATGTCTGGCAGACAAGCAGATACTTGTCCTGAAAAAACATGGCTCAAATAACCCAAGTAACATGGGGGGTCGATATCTGGTCCATGGACTAACATGTACGTGTAAGGTTAATTATTTTTATTTTATTTTTTTATTGATTTTATGTCTATAAATTATTTGAGTTATTTAGACATTATTTAATAATTATAGCAGTAGGATATAAAACTTGTTTGGGTTCTTTAGGGGCTCAGAAACAGAACCTATTTTCCCCCATAAGTTACTGTATTAATATCAATATACGATCGATAACTTAGTGATGGCTTTTTGAGGTCCCAAAGCCCATCGTAAGAATCCACAAATCCAGGAGCCTTCAGACCAACACAAAATCGATTTTAAGGACTTTTCAGTTTCCTAGGTCCTGGGTCACAGCATCAGAACAGTCTTTTATCACACCTACACAGCAGTAGTAGTAGTAGTACAGTAGTAGGTAGTTAGTAGTACTGTAGTAGTAGTGGTAGTACTAGTAGTAGGTATTTAGTAGTACACTACTAGATAGTATTAGCAGTAGCAGGTAGTTAGTAGTACTGTAGTAGTTAGTAGGCTAGACTCGCGGAGGTGCAGTCCGAACAGAAGCAGCACCAATAGCCACACTTTCATAAGAAAATAAGGGGTCTGCAATAGGCCAGTTGGCCTGTGCATGGCAGCTCATGTCGAGAGTTACTACCACTCACTATCGTCCATGAATCTATCTAGCCTCCTCTTAAAACTTTCCAGCATCCCAGCACTTACTACAAAGCTGCTAAGCTTGTTCCACTCGTCCACCACCCTATTTGTGAACCAGTTTCTTCCTATCTCCCTCCTAAATCTAAACTTATCCAACTTAAATCCGTTGCTACGAGTCCTATCCTGCTCGGATATTATAAGAACTTTATCTATATCTCCTTTATTGATTCCTTTCACCCACTTAAATACTTCTATCATATCTCCCCGCACTCTTCGTCTTTCTAGGGAATGCAAGTTAGTTTCTTTAATCTATCTTGATATGGAAGGTTTCTAAGTCCCGGAATCATTTTCGTCATTCTTCGCTGCACTGACTCCAGTGAATTGATATCCATTCTATAATAAGGGCACCAGAACTGAACAGCATAATCGAGGTGCGGCCTGACTAGCGCAAGATATAATTGCAATATGACCTCCACACTCTTATTATTTACACTTCGAGATATAAAACCTAATACAGCTACTCCTCAACTTACGACCACCCGGACATACGACCACCTCATTTGTCCCGAAATTTTGTCAAATTACGTATTTTTAAGTGACGGTGTTAGTGATTGCGCTGTGCACTGTACTGACAAAAAATAATTTGTTATTCACTTTAAAATGGCTGGCAAGCTTAAAAGTGAGAGTTTTGTGGTGCTGAGAAGAAAAAGAGACCCATTTTAGATTTTCTATTTATTATTTAAGCATGACCAATTTGACTTACGACCTGGATTTGGGTCCCTAACCCCGTCGTAAGTCGAGGAGCAGCTGTACTCTGTTTGCCTAATTTCAAACATTAACGCACTGTTTTCTAAGCCGAAGGTCCGGGCTTACAAGTAATCCTAGCTGAGTTAGTTAAGTCGCAGATCTATGTGGCATTCAGTGACTGGTGTTTGCTCTGGGGCCAAAGATCTCGTTCCCCTGAGGTAAAGCAATGCAGAGAGGACATCTCAACCATACTGCAACGTGCCTTCTGGGCTGCTGCTTCTGTTCAGATAACACCTTGGCCAATCTTGCCTAAAAGCACTTTGCACTTGGTCTCATCCTGCCAGAGGTTGTGAACACCAGAGGAGTGAAGCTCTCGTGATCCACATTCTGAATTCTTTTTGCTTACGCCTTAATCTTGTCATTCTCATTCCTCTTGTGTACAGCCTTAAGAGACAAGTTAAGCTAGGATTCCTTATCTGCATTTGCAGTATGCATTTGTGTTACATTGCCTTGGAAATCGGACACCCCTGTTTCCATTTGCAGTTGCATAATCTGCCTTACACAGTGGGAACAGGACAGGAAAGATGGTTCCCAGTGCATCGCAGCTACGATGCTATTTATATGAACAGGATAATTTATTATTCATTATCCTGGTTTTGTGTAAGATCATGCGTGATGCAAAGGGAAAGCGGTCAAGGAAACTTAGATGGAGGGTACATAAAATGCTACTGAATCTGTCCAAATTTGGAGCCTTCTATACTTTGGTAAAAGAGCTAAGCTTGGATGAAGAAAAATTTAAAGAATATTTTCGTCTGAGCAGACAACAATTCTTACATGTTCTTGCCTTGGTTGAGGAGGATTTGGTGAAACACTGCAGGAACACAGAAGTCATTTGCCCAAAGATAAATAATAAGTGACACAAAAATTTTTATTCCAAAGAAGCCTTTTATTGAGACCATGAACCTTCATTTAAGAACGTGTCAAAAATGGATCTAATAAAGTGATACATAAAGACTGATGCATACTTAATTACCTCATTAAATAACACTTGCTAGGTTTCTAAATGTATTATATAAATGCATTACAAAAATAGGTATTTTTGTTGGGATATATATACTGAGTGAACTGATGAAACAGTTGCCAAGTGTCTAAGAACACTACAGATTAATGCTGTATAAAATGAAGTTGTTTTTGGTCATATTTCCCCCTACATATTTGTGAAATGCATAGCTGTGGCAAGACTATCTGATACCCAGGTGAGGAGCGCATGTGTATGGGACAGGAACAAGTGACGTCACGTCAGTGTGGTATTCCCTCGTCCGTTTTCCGTTTTCTATCGCTACAGAGACCGACTGAAATGTACTGCAAATATATAACGCTAACGCTGTCTATAACGCAATAGTGCCAATGGAAACAACCGTATACATCAATATGATCTATTTTTGGCGCTGTCGCTAGCTTGACTACTCCACGTCTGTACCTATCCAGGACTCGAACTCATGACATAATATTGAGAGATACGCGTATTAACATCACACATTGGATGTAATTAATACTTAACTAAATAATCTATACAAGGCTCTAATGATAAATTAAAAAATAAATCTACAAATTAATACTGTACTACACATTACACTAGCATAAACTTCGACTTAAACTGATGGCATAAGAAATAATGCTGGAAAACCACATAAACGAGACTGAAATATGTTTTATTCGTTTAAGAAAAACCAAACTGCAATTTTTTTTTTAATTATTACAATATTCTGATAATTTTAATCAGATGAGAACTTTGTTTTTTTTATCTCCTGTGGTAAACAAACAGTGAGTGGAGGGGAGAGGTGTGTGTCCACGTGTATTAACCATGGACTCTAATATACCAAATGGTAGTCCTCCATTTATAGGAAATAGGACTTTAACTGAATATGTGAAGGTAAGTAAATATGGAGAACTGGTTTTAATGAAGGATTTATTAGTATATGCAATGACAAAAGGTAAACTTGGCTCTCTATTGAAGACGAATCTTATCTGGTTATTGTGCCTTAACCAACAAAGCTCAGTGGTTAAAATATAATAGAGTAAACGGTAATATTTAATGGCTATAGAGTAAACGGTAATATTTAATGGCTATAGAGTAAACGGTAATACTGTTGGTAGTATATAGTGCATCAAGTGTTACCATAACCTTGGGGAAATATTTATGGAAAGTATATGTCTGCTTACCTCATGAATATCCCCAAATTGATAAGGATTCACAATTTAGATGAATATAATTTTGGTAATCTTATATATATTTAATAAACGTAATTCTCCAGGACTGGTTAACACTCAGGAACTCAGACTCGTGTAAACCAGGATTTTAGGAAAATTTTTAAATTACCGGAAGAATATCCACCCCTATTTATTTCACCTGAAGATTAAGCAACCGAATACTATTTGGGGGGGGGGGATAGGTTAAGTGTTAGAGTGGTTATTTTAGAAGATTTGGTTAATTTAGGATAGAAGCTACAGTAGGTTTTGGTTAGGTTAGGTTAGAGTAGGACTGTTAGCACCAGAACCAAAGGTTAGATTTGTTCGAATCACAACAAGAGCCTTAGGAAAAACTTATTTTTGTATGGAAATATCAAAACCTGGCTACTATCATAAATTGACTGAAGAATTTTGTCAGTAGGAATGCCTCTCAATTTAGAATATACCATACAGTACTTATATAATGGAAAACAGTGGGAAAATAAGTTTTGAAATTTGGAATTTAATGTTCTTAGTGATATTTTGCCATTGGAGCAACGTCACAAGTGGAGTTCCCCAAGGCTCAGTGCTTGGACCATTATTATTTATTATATACATAAACGACATAGATATCGGCATAGACAGCAACATAAGTTAATTTGCTGATGACACTAAAATAGGACGTGTTATTAAATCTGACGAGGACTCCGCAAAACTACAGGAAGATCTAAACAAATTTTTCGAATGGTCTGAAAAATGGCAGATGGAATTCAACGTGGACAAATGTAAAGTACTCAGTATAGGAGATGTAAACAGGGAAACCAGATACCAGATGAACAACGATGCCATAGAGAAATCCGACTGCGAGAGAGATTTAGGAGTAATGATAAGTAGGAACCTTAAGCCAAGTAAACAATGTGTTTTTGCTCGTAACAAGGCTAATAAAGTACTTGGGTTCATACAAAGGTGTTAGTTACAAGACTAGCGAGGTCATCCTAAAACTGTATCTTGCTTGTGAGACCACACCTGGATTACGCAGTTCAGTTCTGGTCACCATATTACAGAATGGATATAGAATCATTGGAAAGAATTCAGAGGAGAATGACAAGACTAATCCCGGGCATTAGGAACCTTGAGTATAGAGACAGGTTAAAGCATCTTAATTTGCACTCCCTCGAGAGACGTAGAGCTAGGGGCGACCTGATAGAGGTGTATAAGTAGAAGTCTGGGCTAAACAAAGGGGACATTACAAAGGTACTCAAACTGTCCAACCAGGAGCGAACTCGTAACAATGGTTTTAAATTAGACAAATTTAGATTTCGGCGTGAAATAGGTAAACACTGGTTCGGAAACAGAGTAGTGGATGAATGGAACAAGTTACCAAATATCATCATTAACTCGAATACGCTGAATAGCTTCAAACATAGGTTGTATGCTTATATGAGCAATAGGGGTTGCGTGTAAACGGGACTGCCCAGTATGGGCCAATAGGCCCGCTGCAGTTTCCTCCATTCTTATGTTCTTATGACCGGCTAAGCTCCTGCTAATGCTATTTTACCGTGAGTGTGCTCTGGTTGGCCAAGTACTGTCTGTTTAATATGACGGGGGCCACCCCCTGGCTAGGAAGTTAGGTAAGGTTAGGTAGGTTCCTTTAGTGAATGTCACCTGTTTTATAATGGTTGGAACATATGGAAAAAATTAATAAAATTTAACAACTCCTTCTGGTGGTAGTGGTGTTCTCAGATATTACCGTATTTTTTACATTTTTTCAAGTTAGGTGAGGTTTTCAAAGGCTTGTTTGGTTTTCATTTTAGTATTTTACCCCACATTTTTCCTTTACTTCCAACTGTGAACAACCAATATTTTGGGTAATTGGGGAGGTCTTATCGGTTAAAATACTCGAGAAATATAAATTTGCTTTGGAAACGTAATGGAATATAGTTTTGTTTTTGTTTTCTTTCTCCCTATATAAATAGAAATATGAAATTCCATGTTAGACCTAAAATGAATCTTTACCTCTATTTTTGTTTGTAGTTTCCATGCACAACAGAAATATGGTTAGGTATGTTTATAGCTACACAACGATCGACTCACGGTGAAATACCGCCAGTCAACAGTACTTTTCAGTTTCTTACTTCATCTATTGCAGAGAGTTATGACTAGTGTTCAAGGATGTCAGAAAGTGAGTGCAGAACTTCAGGGTTGGCACCATTACCGGGACTATGCAGGGGTTCATCGTACAATGGAGCAGGTTAATGCTAGCATTACATCATTGTGAGTATCCTTTGTATTTGTTTATTATGGAACTGTCGTGTTAATTTGGGTATGTAGTTTTATTATGGTGATGTTATGTTTCTCATAATTAATGGAATGGTAATTATATAAAAAGTGATTTAGAATAGTTAATGCTGTATAACAGTGATTGCTGCTCCTCACATTAAAAAAATTAACTTATAGATAATACATGAAAATTATGCAATATTCAGGAGCACACTGCAAGTGAGGTATGTTACGATTGTACATTACTGTACACCCACTAAAAAATTATTTGTCACCCGTGTCATATTGTATCACGCCGTAAGAGTGCCGAATAATTTTTTAGTGGGTGTACATAGAAATCAGGTTTCATTATTTTTGTATCTGATGTAGTGGATCAAACAACGCTTATTTGGGGGAGACAAATTGTATTTGCTCAAGCACAACTCCATTCCTCTCTTCCTTTATTATACAGAATTAGCAACATCTTCAGTCATCAGGACATCAAGTTGGGGCTGTCTCATCACAAACTACTTGACCAGTTTGACATGATCAGGGAAGGCAATGATGCCTTGCTGGAGAGAATTGTGAGTACAATACTGTATTGTAAAAGTCTTACACCATTCATATGTACTGTACTTTATAGTGTGCTGGAGAAGTGCTTGGGTTTACCTAACTATTACAATATTACTAATTTTATTGGAGTTTTGATTGAATTCTGGACACAACAACAGCACTTCTGGTGTACAATTGAACCTCAGAACTTAGGAAATTCTTAAAACTGGTATGGATAAAAAAATTAAACAATTCAGTGCTGCCAGATCACAACAAAAACTCAGACTTGAAGAATGAAATACAAGAATGATTTGGGAGATGATATTTTAGAGAAAACATGAAGTTCAGTAAGTTCACAGATACTGTAACATACAAGACACCCTCAAGCAGAGTAGCAGAGCGATGAATGAAATCACAAGTTGCGGACTTTTTGGGGAGAAAAATGGGAGGGTGAAAATAATTTCAGTGAGAGGCTATGTGGTTGCCATAAGCACACTCATGCTTCAAAGGGATCTGCTCACTTGTAAAAAAAAAAAAAGATGGAGCGTTTTCTTCTACCTTGGGTATTTAAAAAGATAAATTCGAACATTGATCTTTCTTAAAATTGAAAAAATATTAGCTAGTTATTTCTTCTGAATGACTCCAATGAGCTGATGCCTGATTGTATGTGGGCATTTTAGTGGAATGTGAACTGGTGTCAAGTAGTACAAAGCCGAAAGGGGGGAGGGCAATGCTTCAGAGGAGCAGGACAGCCAAGGGATATGGCTCTTAAACTCATTATCAAACCTCAGAAGCCCTTGTGGGGATAAGGTAATCTTATTTCTAAGATATGAAGTCTGAATTCTCGACTGTACTGATGAGTCATGAATAATGATAATTACTGTACTGTATCATCTATTTTGAGAAAAATCAGATGTCCATTTATATAAATGTGGCTCCATTGTCTCAGCAAGGTTTTCAGGGCTTGGGAATTTGGTATTGAGTTTTAGAGCTTCCTGCAGACAGTACTTGGTGACTGGAGTAATGGGTCTTGCAAATACCCTGTATATATGTTATAAATTTCAAACCTTGCGGTTCACAATTAATATTGTGTACAGGGTATCTGAATTTCCCCACACCATTACAGTATGTAACACTTTTTTTAATAAATTATTGCAGTATACAGTACACAGTTTAAGTGCATTCATTGGCAAGATCTAGGTACAAAATATACTGGTACAGTTATACTGTGAGCCAGTTGTGTTGGCTCAGTCTCATGAACCTTAAGTACATTCTTGTACCAAAGAGTAATTATCAAGGTTTAGGTAACCTCTGGGTAAGTTTTTAGATAAATTCATAGAGATTATGGAATACATGTACTCTCCTGTATATAATTCAAAATGTATATTTTTTTCAGAATTCTGACATAGATGAAGCTTCTGGACTGAAGAAGAATGCTGATGCTGAAGTACAGGATCCTGTTGTGAAAAAAGTTCAGGTAAGTGTTATACATTAAAAAATTTAACTAATGGTGTATTGCTTTGTTTTGAGATATGTAATACATTTTCCTTCAAGTCTTTTATCTTAATTTTGCGACTAGTAATCCCATACCTCACTTTACTGCAGTGCTGTGTCGTGTCTTTACATTTTGTAATGTTACATCAGGAAATTCCTCGTGTAGTACAAATGCTGAAAATTAGATAATCCTTAATTTAATCATGATATTTTAATACTGTATTTGTATTAAATTAGTAACAGAAGTCTTTCATGTAACCTGAAGTAAGATAGCTGGTCTTGTTGTGAAAAACTGCAGTACAGATTAATGTAGATAAGATATTCACTTAATAGGGAATATAAAACAATTATACTGTAGTGAGTACACCTTCACCAATAAGTAATTTTTTTAGAATTAACCTTAGTTTATCCATTTATTTTATATCTTTTTTGCACTTGGGTTTTTCAAAGATTTGAATTGTTTATACTGCTTACTGATTTTTGCAGGGACCATCTATGAACAGTGCTGTTGGAAAGAATGTGGTTCTGCTGGCATCTCGTAATGTACAAAAGCCCCAGCTGTTTTTTACAGAAAAGATTGATAATTCATTTAAAGAACCATTCATACCCATGATCACTGAGAAACCCAATTCCATCAAGCCTCTGTCAATCCTAATCTGCCTTGATAACAGTGGCCGAGAGTAGTAAGTTATTTATTTGTGCTTGAGATAAGAGTAAGGGAGGTTGAATGTTGGGGGAAGTTTAAATCATGGTGCAGCATATATGATTTTTGCCCAATACTTTACCAATGTGATCATCTTAATGTGAGGCATTTTGTTATGTTGTACGAATACTAACAAAATATTATTTTTCAGTTACTCTCATCCCTATGAGTATGAGCTTCATCATTGGAATCCAGATCCTTCACAACTGACCCCAGTTGTCCCCACTCCCCCCAAGCCCATAGGTGACACATCTCTGGTTATGGTAGACACAGAACATGACTTACAAAATCTGGTTGCAGAGCTTGGTAAATACAAAGAAATTGCTGTTGATGTAGAGGTAAGTTACACTATCATCAGTGGATATAAATTTTCAGTATATAGCATTCACTAAGGTTTTGTAGATCTTGGTTGTTATTGATACGTAATACAGACAGGATGGATTATATAGTTAGATACCAGTACAGTACCTACTGTGAGTCGACAATACACCAGGTCTACATTCTTTTATAGTAATAATAATGTGTGTGTGTGCATGTGCATGCACTTGTATGCAATTGTGCATATTCGTTATTGTATGATAAATGCTGTAATTAATCTTCAGTACTGTACTTTAAATGTTGTAATTAAGCCAAATTAAATAAGAAAGCAGAATAAAATCAAAGTAATATGATAGAGGGTAGGTTTTGTAGGGAAATGTGTTTAGTTTTATATTAACCTTTGGTGTCAAACTGATGCACTGTACACACCAGATTTTATGAACATGATTATGTGTTAAACTAGTGACCTCTTTGAGAAGTAAGTCACTGACCTTTTAAGGGCAAATTTTTGCCAAAAAATTATATACTGTACTTGTTTGACTTCATGGTATTTATCATGTAATAATACATAAACATTTGCCCTTATTGAAAAATTGGTATGTTGACCTATGTTTTGGAAATTATATTTATACTGTAGGTTACAACATCTTATTTTCACCAGATTTCATGACTTAACATTTAAGTACAGTAGATCACTGTCTATCTAGGAAATATAGTTCTTGTTAAGTTTAATGGCCAACTATGGTTATACAGTACAGTAATGCACCATCATACAATCTCTGCTTTCACGTGAATGAAAGCACAAGGTGAAACAGATACAGTCACGGGTGTGCTTCCCTTTCCAACTGCTTTTGTTCCCCATTGTGGGCATCTGTATTTCACAAATACTATATAACTACTCTTTTTCTATAATCAGTTTGTGGTTCCCATTACAGCACCATGGATTTCGGTCATATCTAGGACTTACCTGCCTGATCCAGATATCCACTAGGGATAAGGATTATATTGTGGACCCACTGTTACTCAGAGGAAAACTTACAATATTAAATGAAGTCTTCACAAACCCCAAAATTACAAAGGTGAGTCTCAGTTGAGTTTTTTGTATGCTGACAAATTCAAGTGTATTATGATTTGGCATTACTGTATATGTATTTTACAGGTCTCTTGATATTTTGGTAAAATTATGATCTTGAGTCATGATATATTTTGCACCACTCAGTATCATATACACTGTACTCGTGTATTAACTGATCTCATATATAGTTTCACCCCTGATTATTTTTTAATTTATTTATTTTTTTAATAGAAAACAGCCTGAGTTTTTAATATACTGTATCTTATGTGTGATTTGACCCGAGCTTTTGAGAAATACAGTACTAATTATAATCCTAGACATAATTTGTAGCAAGACACCAGTTTCACAGCAACATGTCTTGACCATGACCACAACAGCTGGTGCTATGAAGTGTTACCGACTCTGAAACTGAAAACCCACCAGCTACCAACTCCTATGAGGAAGAAAATAAAATAATATATACCCGTAAATTTTTATCATGAGGAGTAAATAAAAATAATACCAATAAATTAAGCAAAACAATAAATACCCTGTACTGTACTATTGCCATTTGATGTTGGATGACGAAATTTGTCAGTTGTTTCACTGCACACAGGAAACAACTCAGAACAACTGAGATTTCACTCTCCCCCTCCCCTGCTTAGTGTGATCTCTTGACACATGAAGAAAGTTTAATCCCTTTTATGTTTTTTTTTTTACCTTGTGATAATGCTTTTTTTTCACATTCTGTATGGAAGATTGTGCATGAACAGTAAAATATGAAGAAAATTACCTCCAGAATATCTACCCAAAATTACAAATTCAAAAATACTGTAGCCCTAACATAGCTCACAACTTGGCCTGGAGTGGTAGAGAGAGGGCTATAGTAACGAGTCTTGTGTTTCTATTATTAATACTGTATAAAATACTGATAAACTAGCAAAAATACACAAAAAAGATAAAGAATATTATCACAGATACCAGATAAAGGTTTTAGAAAAATATGTTTATCACTAATGTGATTTAGAAATAAAAAATATATGTTATAAGACTATAGAATAAAAAAATGAAGAACATTGTGTTTATTCTGTGTGGGAGGTGAACACATGTTTTGTGTTGAGTCAGTGGGTGGTTGTCACTAACACATCTGGCAACTTATCTAGTTAAACCTATTTTAGTTTAGACACATGCATCTTTCACACACACCTCCTATAAGTTTATCCTCTTTGCGAGCTCGGACTTCTAGAAGCTTCCATAAGTTTGTTGAAGGTTTCCAAATCCTGACATGTGTGTGTGTACATGGCATGGATGGTCTCCCAGGTGTGGCAGGTTGTGCAGTATGAGATGAAGTGGATGTGTAGTGAAGATTGTGTAAGTGTGTGGTGATTTCTTTTTGTGCTACTGCACTCGGTACTATCACTTTTGCATTAGTTTTGAGACATTTTAAGTGCAGTACACCTAGTTATAACTCACACTGCAGGGAGTGTGAATGTACAATCAGCAGATTGTTCTAGGCAGTGTCAGCTGATGAGATTTGGAGGGAAATTTGTATCTTTTAATTATTTGGAGTTTTTATTCTTCTTTTTTTTCTTTTTTTTCAAAAATTGGTTTTCAGATTCCTGGTACAGTACTCATGTGTACATGAGTTTGTCTGCACATCCATCTATCAGAGTTTGTCTGTATATCCAACCATCTGAGTTTTGTTCTGAAACCAGTCAACCACTTCAAATTTCTTTATGAAAATTTATACCCAAATTAACCTGGTGGTAGAGGTAGCTGTATTAAAGAGCACACACTAATTTTGATGTATTATTATGGTCATAATGGAAGATGTAATGACACTGTCTTCTTGTTTATTTTCAGGTGGTTCATGGTGCTGATTATGACATCTTGTGGCTACAAAGAGACTGTGGGATATATGTAGTTAACCTCTTTGACACTCACCAAGCAGCAGTTGTACTTGAATATCCTCACCGTTCATTAGCTGCCCTTCTATCACGCTTCTGTCAGATCCAGGCCAATAAAGTTTATCAGAGGGCAGACTGGAGAATAAGGTCAGTTTTTATTTCTTTTAAATGAAGTCTCAAGAAATTGCGCTTTTATTATTATTAATAGCAGCAGCAGTAGGTGTGAAGACCGATTTTTCAAAAACTGGTTGGTGAAATTTTCAGGGAGGAAACCTGTTGGTATCTGAAGTATGCATGTGGAGACATTCTTATTGATGATGTAAATTTTACATCTATTTGTAATATCGTGAAGGTCTCAGAGAACTACAGAACCATTGGTTGTACAGTATCTTCTAACTACATTATATTTTTACCTATCTATTTCTTAACTATATTTTTTTACTTATTTGTACATATAATTTTTCTGCTATCTTTCCGATTCTAATATTATGTACAGTACTGTATATAGTTTTTATATTGAGCCAAGAATGATGACTACTGTACACTGTACTATAATTTTTGTTCCCTGAGATAGATGATCAAGGCAGTAACAGAGACTTAAAGCTTTTGAACATTACTGGGGAAGTGGGTAAGTATAATCCACCTCCGAGTAAAAATATTGTAGATAGAGCCTGATTTTTAACTTTGTTCGAAGCTTTTTAGTTATCTAGGACAATTAAAAATGATTGTCCAAATTAATTGAAAGTAATTATAGGCTTGTGAGTGTGAAGAGGGAGGAAACTTTCTATAGTGTGGTTAAAATAAACCTTTGATTTTATATCTGGTGTTTGTAATCATTTACCAGTTTCTTTATCTAATAGATCATAGGATATGTAAAGTTCACCATGTATTTATTGAATATTACTGATTTTTTTACTCTTTCAGACCTCTCCCAAATGACTTTATTGAATATGCAAGACAAGATTCACATTACTTGTTATACATATATGACATCATGCGTAATGAGCTTATTGAACGAGGCAACCAACTCAACAATTTGATTTCTGCTGTTTACAGTCGTTCTGCAGAGATCTGCATGAAGGTAAGATTCCTTAAAAATTATCTCTGTTGGTGTTAATACTTATTGAAAAATGTTCAGATACAATTAAAGGAAAAATTTACTGTTTAGGATATTGTATATATATATATATATATGTTAATACTGTATAGTACTTTGATAGCTGCATTGCATCTTAACATATAGATTGTCCTTATAGTTTTCTTTTTTTTTCAGCGTTATGAGAAACCAATTGTGGGACCGGATAGTCACATGGATTTGTATCGCCGCAGTCGTAAAACTTTTAACTCAAGGCAGATGTTTGCTTTGCGTGAACTTTATCTGTGGCGTGACAGAGTTGCTCGTGAACAGGATGAAAGTCCCGAGTAAGTTGCCTAAATAATTACTCTAATATAAGGCCTGGTGTGCTGTACCACATGACTCAAGTACTAAAGCCCTGAGTTCATGTGTTGGAAACCCAATTTATCTTGAAGGCCTTAAAGGCTGGGTCTATTGCATGAATTAATTACACTGTCTTTTGACATATCCGACTTACTTATAAAAATGTCCTTTAGGAATAAAAATCACCTTTTAAAGTAGAAGACATGAGTTGTGATATTGTTTCTTGTCTTTAATCCTGGTAAGCCACATGGGCTCCAGGATGAGAAGTTAGTGTACTTTCAGCCTTGATTCCATGCTGCCCCTCCTTACACAATACCTGTAGGAACAAGTACTTGTGTTAGCAGCTCATACTTTTTTTTCTGTAATTGTCACTCATATACTATTATTGTGCTTGTGATTGTAAAACAAAAATATTTTTGACTTTGTACACATTGGCATAGTGGACACATTAGGGCTATTTTGACATGTTTGTAGTTTATTAAGTTATTTGATTTACTGAATATGTTTATATATATTTGAAGTCTATATGAAAGACTTATAAAATAAACTTTGCAGGTTCGTGTTGCCAAAGCATATGCTGCTGCAAATAACAGAGGTATTACCTAAGGAGATGCAAGGTGTGTTGGCTTGTTGCAACCCCATCCCTCCATTGGTCAAGACTGAGCTCCTCACTCTACACACAATTATTAGGGAAGCTCGGGAGCAACCTCTCATTGATGTAAGATCTCTTAATCTTTCTTGTTTATATGTTGATAATTTAATGGTACATATTTTAAGCAATTAATGTACAAATGATATACAGTAGTATTGATGGCATATGTAGGTATTCTCTAAATAATATACAGTCTCTCCTCAACTTACGACGGGGTTCCGTTCCGACGACCAGGTCGTAAGTCGAACCGACGAAAATAATACGTAGAAATTCTAAAATGAAAATACTGTACAGTACAGTAAAAGTAATCAATAATGAAAAATGAATAAAGTGTTACTGTGCACTTACCTTAGACAGTGCTAGGGTCATCCATGCTTTCTTATTACTGAGATAAAACATATATCATGAAGGGTTTTACCTTGAAACCAGCTACCTTCCCCCCCAACAGAAGTGTGATTCGGTCCTTGAATCCCGGCATGGTTTTCGCCTCTTTGTGGATGTATGTCAGTTCTGGCATGCGCTTCCAGAATAAACCAGTTTCATCAACATTAAGTATTTGCTCAGGCAAATAATTTCCCTCCTCGATGGCACGATCTAGCTCCTCCTTAAAAGTTTCAGCAACACCCACATCAGCACTTGCTGCCTCTCCACTCACCTTTACACTGTGCAAATTGTAACATTTTTTAAACCTTTGAAACCACCCATGACTTGCTGTAAAGTTTTGGTCGCACTCATCTCCTGCCTGCTCTTTCGGGGTTTCGAAAAGGCTTTTTGCCTTAGCCTGTATGGTTAGAAGGCTTAACGGTATACGCTTTTGTAGTTGATCTTCCATCCACATCATGAGTAATTTCTCTATCTCATGAAAAGGACCTTGTCTTTTTTTCGTTATTATTGTGCCCTTCGTCGGTGCTGATCCTTTCACTATCTCACGAATTCATTCCTTGTCCTTCAAAATTGTTGATATCGTCAAGTGAGAGAAGCCAAGGTCACGAGAAACTGTTGATACCATTTTTCCATTTTCATATTGCATTATTATTTTCATTTTCATCTTAAAAGTAATTGACTGTCTATTTTTCTTCTCAGCACCACGAGAACACTCACTTTTACGTTTGCCAGCCATTTTAAAGGGAATTACAAACGAAAATTTTGTAAGTACACAATGCGATCACCAAGAACAACGACGGCCAAACACAAACTGAGCGGGTTACGACGTGGATGCTGTACACCACGTGGCAGCAGCGCATGCCATCCGAAGTTGTCGTACGGTGTCACATTATGACCAAACGTCTGGACTCGAAAATAATGTGAAATATTTTATATGACAATGGTCGTCATAAGTTCGGGTTGTCTTAAGTCGCATATGTCGTATGTCGAGGAGAGACTGTATGTACTTTGGATAATTTTTGGGGGCATCATATTAGAGTCTACCATCCCATACTATCCACCAATTTTGTCTTATACACAACCTCCTCTGTACATTCCTCTTTTCACAACACAATGCATTATTCCATGTTAACATCCCTCCTAGGGTATATCTCTCTCATAATACATCACATCGCAATTATTATTAAATCAACATCTCACTCAGTCACATATTCCTTGAATGTATCTTTATACCTAACTGTTTTCTTCTAACTAAAGATTATATACAGTATAAAACGAATTATAACTGACTAAAATAAGAAATTTCATCTCAGTATTTGTGAGAAGTTTACAACTACAGTATGACATAATTCTTTTGAGCGTTGTTTGCATATATTTTCAGTGAATTAATGAAAATAAACAATTTACAACAGCTTCTACAGTGTAAAGAAGTCAGTTCAATGTAAGTCACATGTAGTGTTGTGATGATTTTCATATAGTTTGCTTTGGTCGAGCAGTGTTTGTTTTTCGAGTTTGATGACAAATTCAAGATATATTTGGCATGAGTTTAAATGTGGAGCTACAGTAGTTACTTGTTCATTTATTTAATGTGATTGATATTTTCAGATTAAAGTTGCTCCTCTGATACAAACATTCCCAAATTTAAGAAAGGGTTCCATTCCTGAAATTCTTTCATATAATATTTTTTTTGTATATCAAATCACATTATCCCGTAGACTTCATTTATAAAAGCTGATATACATTCCTGTGAAAAATAAAACCTTCCAAAAAACATCTTAAAAATGGTACAAAACATACAGTACTTTTAATAAAAAAAGTTGGTGTACACAATGATTATCAGCCAATAATGAAGATACAGTAATAAGTGATATAGTGTCCATATAGTGAAGGACTTGGAAGTTACTGATAGATTGTGTTCCTGGTTGTGATGCATCACGAGACTGTCCAGAATGTATTTACCTGCGCCAGTGATGGTCAAGCCTGGTCTTGAATGAGCTCACACTCAGTGCTATCACAGCAATCTTTGGTAGGTCGTTCCAAAAATTCACAACTCCCACACCAAAATGTTTGCCCTGACAGTTTTCTGAACTTGTGGTTTCTTCACCCTTAAGCTGTGACCCCCCATGTGGGTAGGGCATCCACCAGTTACAGGTATGAACCCTCAATTGAGTAATGTCCTCTGAGGTGTTCATAGACTTCTGTTTAGTCACCCCTTGCTAGTCACAGTACTCCAAACAGGGAAGCACCTTTGTTTTGAGGAGCACTATGAAAGTCATACCATCTTGGTGTATGAACACCTTTCTTATAACACCTACTAGCTTAGTTGTTAGCCAAGACAAATGAATTTAGTTTTGTAGTGATGCACCAACACTAAGTCTACTGTACTGTATGTATATACATTTTAAGAGGTTTTGCTATTGTTGGATTTGATTGTTGGTGAGGTTATTCTTTCCACTCACATCAGATCAAACTCTAAATTTAAACACATCAGCATTCCTAAGTCAAAATATCTTGAGTCAACATCTAGTCACTGATCCTGTGAACCATGGTAACTTAAACACTACATGTATTTTATTTTTAGTTTACAGTAGTTAACCCTATTTATACAGTACAGTACTGTTTGTTGTTGCTCTTAGTTGTATTGTCATTATAAATTGACCAGATACGGTATGGGAACCCTTGAAATGCCTCTGTTAGCACCTCAGCATCTTCTGATGCTGCAAAAAATTATGAAAAGAAATATAATTACGGATTTTTTGTACATTCAATAAATCTAAACATCTCGCTTTTTTTTCTTAACTTGGGATTTTTTAAATTGGATCTTCTTAAATTTGGGGACTGCCAGAACTTCCACATTAAACTCACTTCTTTTATATTTTCAGATTAAACTCAATCCTTTACAAGAACATCTTCCTGTTGGAGTAATGCCATCATCAGAGGATCTACATATGAACTTTATCTGCAAACATGATCTTTCTCATTGTGAAGAAAATCCAACAGACCTCCCTACTCTCCTCAATCCTAGAGAAACTTTGCTTGGAGATCTTTTTTTACAAAACATTGTTGATATCTCTCTCAAGGATCAGTCACAGTTGTTTGGACACATAAAGGTAATAATTAGTATTTTATTTTTGAAATTGCATTTCACTAATGAGTGGCAGTTTATTAAAAGAGGTTTAATATTTGCAAAACTGCAAATTTACAAACATAACTGATAATTTTGGGGGGAAATAATTTTTAATATTATGGAAAATCTTCATTACTTTGCATCTCATAGGTTCATAATTGCAGGTCTCAATCCATTTTTAACAAGCACAATTAATTTGCCTCCTAGATATGCTTCTTTGCCCATTTAGATGTTGTGCCACAGGAAAAACATGTGCATTCGTCAGTGTTATTTATCTGAACAAACTTACCCACATGGAAGTTGGTTGTTCTTGTGAGTCAGTTTACCCAGGTGGTTAGAGGCTGTTCCTGTGTGTATAAATTTGTACCCTAACTTCAATTTACAATTACTATTCATACCTACTCTGACTTGTACTGCCTTGCCCATCTCCTTTTAGACATAGGGGCAGAAATAAAGAATTGATCACTGATAGCTTACCAAAGCAACGTAATTACCCTCCCTCTTCCTAATAGTTATGTGATGAAGTCAGCTGGACTAAATTTGGTGTTGCTTGAGTTGCAAGTTCTGCCCAAGTACGGATGATAAGCGGAATATGCTCGATTGATACAATGTCTGACTCATCAGCATTTAACCTTATGTAGTAGGCCTTTAGACTTGATCCATACTCAGTCAGAAAAGGGATCTTAGGATCAATCCTTAAATTTTGGCCACTTGGCATGTTTTGTTTATTTTGATGACTCTAATAAACCCCTTTTCTTTTGTAGTGTGCAATGTACTATATACTAAATATTGCCATAACTTATGGATCCACAGTTTTCATGTCAATTCGTTTTCAGAGTTAAAATTCCCATTTTTGCCTTTTATAATGTAGTACTATAAGAGTATTTCAGTGTTGTGGTGGTCAAATGGATACCTTACTAGCCTTTTGTTCGAAGGCTAGTGGTTCAATACCAGGGCACCCCTCGTCCACCTGGCTATAATGGGTACCTAACCGTAGATATGAGAAATTGAAGGGGTTGAGTGTAGTGCTTCTTGTTTACTGAAGGCTTAGTAACCACATTGTTCCTAACTGACAGCCATGCCTATAGGATTCCTTTTTCACTGCCACTGTTACTTCATTTATTCTTGCTGAAGGCTTTCATTATATTTTTTGCTCAAAGGATGTATCATTATATTTTTTTTCCAGATTGAAAAATGGCACAAGGGACAAGAATATTCAGAAATGACAGACAAATTCATGAGTCCATATGAAAGGTACACATCCTATGTAGAGATGAAGCCACTCCTAGATGGAGAGAAGAAAAAGAAGGAGGGAGAGCTCACAGATCTTGATCGGGTTAATAGGGTAAGGACACATGCTTCTGTTATTCGTCATGAGAGCTGTATGTGGACTTGTTGATGTGTCCATTCTATAATTTTAAATTTATTTTCTATGTAAAAAGTGTACAGTATAAATGTGGAAAAATGAGTAACAACCCTGTCCATTTCAAATTTTGTTAATGTCATTGTGAGAATCCTGAATACTGTAATACTGTATATCATTTGTAGTTTAGTACTATTTGCTTATATAGACTTTAATGTCAAGTTAACAGGATACATCATTAAGTTCCTGATTCTGATTGGTCCTGCACAAAAGGTTGGCAGTCAGCAACATGTCATATTAGACTGAGACAATTTGTAGGGGGCACAGGGGGTAAAAACATTGCATTGTCTTCTTGTGAATGTGGCAGAAGGTGGAGCATTGCAAGGTGTTAGGATCCAGAGCCCTGATGACCCTTACTCTCAGTTGTTGTCTTTAGTAACCCGGACCAACACCATAAGGAAATGCTTTCATTATGAAATAGTTTTTAGGACAGCAGACGCTTGACCCTTCTGCTCCAACATATGGTTAATTTGTTGTGCTCGGAATGTTCAATTTTCACCAACAAACTTTAAGTTCTTAAAAAATTATGCAAGGCTAATGGGAGGTGAAAAAAAAATAGATAAAATATCTACGTTGGTTTAGCAATGGTGAAAATTGAATGTTTTGTGGTGGCTCCGGCAGACATTGCTGTGCATAAGGTGTTGGGAGGGAAGGGCCCGTGTAGGGTAGCAGTGGGTTATAAACGCAGGGTGAAGTGGTAAGTGTATTCAATAACACCTTCTTCACCAGAGGTTTACACATCTTTTCTTGGCACAGTATTTCCTTTATGCATCTTTACTTCATGGAGTGGATGGTTCCAGGCCATTAGAAGATGAAGATGAATGTACGTCTTCTATGATGACTTTGTATGTACTGAGGCACTGCAAGGAGTGTGGGGGTTTCTTAAACCCTTATGCTCTATTTTAGAATTACTATGAATCTAATAAATCATTAGTTTATACCAGTTTCAGTTCAATTATTATTTTATATCTCCAAAAGACACTTAGTTTATGACACTGAATTCATGGTGCTTATTAATTTGCAGTCATTTATGATGCATCAAACAATCAAACGTTTTGTACTGTATTTTGCTAATCCTCTGAGATTTCACATATCTCTGGGGACCCAGTTTCTGATTTCATTAATCCATCCCAGATTCTGTCTTCCCCTTGCCCTCTTACCCTTAACTTTGTCCATTAATTATATGACTAAAGTACAGAATCTCATTTTCCTTTTTCTATAAATTTTGAGACTTTCTCTTCAAGTTTTGCTAATCTTTGTACTTCATTATTGGTTTTTCTGTCCATGTAACTTATACTGTCATAAGTATTTAAGGACTTGTGAACTATCATTGTGTAAGAAGTGTACTGGTTCTATTTAAAGGCAAAAGTGGGTAGCGGTAAATATGTACCCAGTATTTCCTAACTCTGGAAACCATGGATCAGTTCTTGCAGGAGGTAGTAATCTTGATAGTGCATTGTGAAAAAATTAAAGTTCAGCTGTGCTCCACATTTATTTAGTTTTTTCATTTATGAGTATATGAGTGTTGTGTATTTTATTATTTACTTATTAATTTGGAACTTCGCATTTCAGGTTAGACAACACTTCTTGTCACTCTCAGATAACACTGAAGTTACTACTAAAGAAAACATTAGAGTGGCAACCAATCACACGGTTGATGGTGAAACACAAGTTGTTGCAGAAGGTTCCTTGCTGCAATTTAGTGAAGACAGTTCACAGCAGCATCAACAGTTGGATGAAACAGATAAAGCAGAGAGTGAACAGCAATCAGAAACAGTAAACAAAACAAAGAAACATTCTGGTCCTTCCAAATCAGTTATTTTAAGTGAAGAGGTTAGTGAACAAATTCTAAGGCATTTTAGGCTCTATTGAAAAGTTTGAAGATTTTCTAATATTTAATGTATATATGCAATATGAATCATTGTGTACCATGTCCATTCATTATTTTGACCTGCAGTCTACATTGTATCTTTCTTAATTTAAGCCAACACTACTAAATCTTTTTTTCTGGTCCCTATTAACCACTTATAAGGAAGACCCCCTGTACTGATTTTACAAACTGGCTTGGAAAGCGAGTGGTATGCTCATTCTCCAATAGGCAATGGATATTGGTTTATGAAGATTCTTCTTTTGTCCAAAGATAATATCAAATAACTGTGTATTTAAGAGCAGTTACAAGAATAGTATTTTTTCTGTTGGCCTTACCTTCTTTATCAAGTAGGATATCTCTTCTGTTGTTTTAGAAATACATTTTTTGTGGTTTAACCAACAGCTAAGTGGTTCAAATACCCTCCCTCCTCCCTTGTGTGACTTGAACATGGAGAGTTCAATCTCAGTCCAGGGTGGTGACTCCGTCAGCTGTTATAGCTATGTAGATACAGCTCTCTGTAAATCTTTAGCCTCTCATGGGTAACTTTTAGCTCTACTTTCTCTTGTTAAAGGGCAATAGCTACAATGGGAAGGAATGATTGGTTGTAAAATCATCAATCTCCAACTCCTGTTGACAGTGTCCTCTGGGTTTTGACCCCAGTTGGCTTTGGTATACACAGTTGTAAGAGCCATCTTGGTGTGGAGTTGATAAGAAGTTGGGGTTTCAGGATGAATCCTGCATTTTTAAATGATTCTTTTTTACTCTTTTCATCTTTTACTTCCTCTTTTTTGCATTAATGCTACGGTAGCCATAATTGTTGTCGTGCATTAATAATTCATAGGGTAAGCAAAACCTTCAGAAAGATTCCAGCAAATGCTTTTGAGTATTGGATTTTGAACTCTGGAGTGATTGGAGATGGTGACCACCACATACAGGACTGATTCTGTGTTTGTTACTTGAAAGTATAGGAATATTATACAATACTTAGTTAAAGTAGTAGAAATGGTCACTTGTTTGTAGTGGCTTTTGGTGTCGTTATTTGTACCTTAATTTTCTGATATTTCTTTAATCAAACAGCTGGAAAGCTATCCTACAAAATATTTATATACCGTACTGTACTGTATATTGTTGTGTCCATATTTTATTTTTGTATCTTGTAATTTTCTCCTGGATTTTATATTATTTTAATTTTGATATTTAAACTTTAATGGGTTATATTTCATTTATATCTAGTCTTAAATATTGAGTTTAATTTTTGGCATCAAGGGCCACAGTCTGTGATGTCAGATAATTTGCCCAATCAATCCATCAATCCTCTTTTAATTTTCCAGATACGTGAAAGTAAAACCAAGAACAAATCAATAAAAAGGAAATCAAGTGAAAAATATGAAAAATCAACAAAGAAAGTGAAAAAAACTGATGAAGGTGAAGAAGTAGTGGAATGCTCTGGACTAGAGGAGGGAGAGGTAGATGAAAGTACAGGTCCTGATGAAAATAATGGCAATGAACAGAATCCTGAGGAAGCTTTTGATTATGAGATTGCTGATTATACTATTTTCCAAAAACCTCATAACAAAGGTTATAGCAAAAGACGACAGATCAAGGAGAGATTCAAAGGAAAGGTAGGTAATCATGGGGTTCTGTGTCTGTACAGGATTCCTCATTACTCTCCATCTCTTCATCCATAATTGTTTTTTATTAGCACATCTCTTCAGCATATGGACATATTGTGGTGATTCATTTTAATTTTTTTCTCTCTGGGAAATTTGGTTGATTGGGACCTTCATAGCTTCAAGGATGAGTCCATTGTAATGATCTTCACTCTCTTCAGATGACTTACACAGTATTACGTACATGACCGCTTTTTGTAGTTGCCATTTATGTTTGTACTTTTTCTTTTAATCATTTATCTACCTAAAGAAGCAAAAATGGGAATTGTTGAGCTAAAGTTGGGAAATATAGAAGTGAAATAAATGTTGGGCAGAGAGTGGATTAGGGTTTGCTCAGCTGGTATGGACTTGTTTGGTGAATGGAGAGTAAAAGATCGGCAAAAAAGAGTTTATAATTCAAAGAATAATGCTAGACTGGACGGGGAAGTCTAAGAAGGAGATGGAAGGAAAGGGTAAAGTATAAATTTCAAGTTAGGAAATGAACATAGATGAAGCAGAATTTTTTAAACAGAAAATTTTAACTATAAGATTTTTTAGTTACCTTTTTCCACTCTGCAAGTCTTCCCTTGCTATAATGCAGAATGGCCAGTCAAGAACAGAAATATACTGTACCTACTCAGACTCTCCCTACATGTGCCGCCTTGTATTCATTTTTATACTACTGTAAAGATAATGTCTGTTATGGCATTCCCCTTCTACATGTTCCTAAATATCTCTCCGATTTATTCCTGCTTTTTCACACAACCCACCAACACTCATTGGCATCACGCTGTTTACCATAAATGGCCCAGTCACTTATACATTAGTCCTGGGGTACATTGCAGGGTAGGGATCGTGAATGTTCATGACGTAACTAATCGTGATATACAGATGTGTACTTTACAAAATAAGGGATTAGGGACTAGCCCCCCAAAATTGCCTTGACTTGGCTAAGACAAACTTTGTTAACATAATGTCTGATGTTTAAGGATCCTTATTTTTAAATTAAAAACATTACAAAGCATTAATCTCTGAATAATATTGATTGTATTTACTTCCCTCAGAGTCATAAAGGACGGGGTGGAAAATCCAGTATGAAGAGTTTCACTTGGGGTGGCAGTGATAGTCACAGAGGGAGCCGGTAGCTGCAGTCACCTTTGAATCTTCAATAAGTACCAGGGCAAGTGATTTCACTTGAAAGTTTTTAGTTAAGATATTTCATTGTTGTTGGGATTAAAAAGATGGAAACATTACTTTGCAAAGAAAAGACTACATTCTATATTTAAGATCAGAGAATTTATATTAAAAGGATAAGTATATTACTTTAAACTAATACAGTTAAAGATTTGGAAATGTAATTTTATTCGTGAGGAATGTAATATTCTGTGACTTTGCAAGGACTTAGTAGGATGTAAAATATTTTGTTTTTTTAGAATAAATTCTACAAAATAAAATTTTTCATAAAGATCATGGAAATGCTTTTCATGTGGGTACCCTCATTTTCTTCTTATTTTAAGGATAAAATGTTTGCTTCCCTGATGTGGAGTGACGTGATTTGCTAAATAATATCTTGAGTATTATTTTCAATGGTACTGTATAACCTGCTCAAACTTTTTGGAAAATGATCTTCATTTACATATTGCATGCAAATTTGAAAATGTATTTTCTTCAACGTTTAGATAATTGATTTCCAAGAAATATATGGCTGAATGGGAATTTAGCATGTGAAGCATGTTGCAGAATATGTGAAGATTTGTATTCTCATAAGACAGTACTGTGGTACTGTATCAGTCATCTTTCATCCTATAATTCTTTTGGGGTTTACAGAATTACCCATGTAAAATCCTTGCACATACTCAGGTATGTGCCTTTTACATGTACAACTATGTACAGTATGTAGATGCATATGTACATGTGGGTAACTTTTAACTGATTAGTAAACTCTTGAGATTTATTAACTGGCAAATTCTGTTACCTGTGTTTATTTTTCAAAGATTACATTAATAAACATTGACCAGGTACTCAGGATAATGGTAAACTTTCATATTACATAAAGATATCTTTATTATTCATTATGCCAACAAACATTTTGACTGCATAGGAAAAACTAGTGTTTCCGAACTTAAGAACTAAAGTGACTTTACCTTTTCTCTTATTCCTGATTAACATAAACAGTTTCATATTGCTCTGATTTTACAAAATGAACGTGAAAACATTTTGTCCCAGTGGCTCAACTAACAACAGAAATTTCATTATTATTCAGTTTGAAAATAAGATATTGTATGTTGATGGCAACAATGTGGTAAACACTTCTACAAAATAAAATCATTTTATATGCAATAAAATTTTTATGATTATACACATTCAGTATTATAGCCAACCTACACCAAAATAAATACAACTGTAACCATAAAAGCAGTATTCTGCATTGTGGAGTTAAATGTCACCCTTAGATTACAGTGCTGTACTCTAATAATTACCCTCTCGTGCATTATGACGCAAACCGTGTCAAATCAAAAGGTATAGACTATTTGTATTGGTGACACGAATTGCATCACTAAACATAAAAAACCCAAAATTCTCAAGATAATTGGGTCAAATTTTTGTGCGTCATAGATGTCTGCATGATCTTGCGATGGAAGCTTCCAGAAAGTACCAAAGTGTGGGTGGAGTTCCGCTGTCCATCAGTTTCCTCTCGTCAGCCATGCTGGTAGGTCGCATTTGTCTCTTATTTCCTCTCCCATCCTCCCCATAATTAATTAATCGTATCAAAATTTCAAAGCTATTGTTGGAAAGATCATAAAATTCCACTTCTATATAATACCTTGGTGGGTTTGTGAGAAAATATCCGAGATAATGCTGGGAGCACAAATAATTTTTTCTTTATTCGGAATGAAAAAAAATATACATACTGTGGTGTTATTCTCGTTTTTGTTTTGTTTTCCATGTTAAAGCCAAAACAATAATGAAGCCAGTGATGTACAGTACAGTTAACCCTCACTTTACGCGGTTAATGTAACCCGGAGGGTCCCGCGTAAAGTGAGGGTTAACTGTATTTAAATCATTAAAAAAATATATATTGTGGGATAAATTGGCTGCAGAACGAAGATGACCAGACCTCATAAGTGGTCCCTTATGGATTTTGTCGTGGTCAAGGAAACTTAAAAGCTTATTGTGCGCACGAGAGGGTTAATATTACATCAATATATATTAAAATGCAATTGATATTAAAATATCCGTACCTATAACAAAAGGTCAGACAAACTTATTCTTCAACAAGAAATCCATTAAACATTAAAATCATGAAGAAATAGATTACCGTCGACACAAAAAACAGATATTGTACAGTACTAGTAGAGCACTGAAAACTAACAGCCTTACTTAAAACACACACAAAACTAATCTACTTGATAAATACAATATCATAAATCGAACAGCCATAGGAAAACAAATTTATTTTTTTATATATAATATATATATTAAGTTAAACAACAAGCATAGTTTAACATGCATAGAGAAAGTGCATAGTTAAATACAGATATACAGTAATAAAACTCTATTTTATGTTCTATCATTCCTGCCATGCAGTGAGGTGTCTTGTGCAGAACTTCTGCCATACATCATCGTAATAATTTTCTGTACTTTGTGGAATCCTCTTTCACTACCGTCAGTATTACCTCAAAATAAGTCCTTTTTTTTTTCCTTAACCAGTCATTCTTTATGTCCACATCCCCACAGCTTGATAAGTGATTTTTCAAAAGCCAACCCAAACATATGATATTCACAGGTAAACATATATGATACAACAAATACACAGGTAATAATATTAGTACCTGTACTGTACACTCATAAACTTAAATACATAATTAACATATAGTACAGTACATTGATAGAGAAATTCAGTCTGAACACCATATATAGGAACCTTAAATGTAAATAAAAGACAATCCATGGATTTTACAGTGAAATGTGTTTTTAGTATTTACAGATTACCAGGTAAATATTCAAGTCATGAAAACTTATATTATGAGCACCAAACTTAAGATAGCCACTACTTAATGACCTGGGATTATTTATACACATAAATTTGAATTTTTAAGAGAAGTGTACTAAAAATGTCTTGTATAATAATAAAAAAAAGGTAAAACTCGACATTGTTACAATATTATATTTACATGCTTCATAATACTGTAACTAATATATTAGGAAATATAGTACATGTATTTATAAATTATTAATGCCTGCAGACATTTCTGCATTTTATTATGACAATCATAAAATATTATTATGTGAAATATTAATTATTTTTGCTAAAAATTAACTAAAAAGTAAAAGAATGTTTTAGCAAAATATATATTTATTAATAAGTTTATACCAAACTTATAAGAATAAGTCTAAAAACTTAAGTCATTAAAGTACAGAGTAATATAGTATGTGTACTGCATTTGGCTTGAAATATACTCTTCAATACAGGTAATGTATGTTGAAATGGGAAAACAGTACTGTACTGTAATGTACATATATTTAAAATAATTGCATACAGATTGAGGATCCTTTATCCAAAACCTTGAGGCAGACTTGCATTTCAGTATTCAGATATTTTTGGTTTTCATAAGCCTAGGACCACTTACATTACAATAGACTAAGTTTAGGTTAGCCAATATAGAATAGGCCCAGATCCATACTTCAAATACAACTGATGTAATTTTTCTACATAAACCACCACATCCTGCCTTTTCCATTTAATTCATTTTTACAGTAAATACAATTTTGTTAGGTATTCCTGTGTTGATATAATTTGAGATACATATTTTTAAAGAAAATTTCGTTTAGGTATTGTACTTTTAAATAGTGTAGCTAAAAGCTTAGCAGTGAATAGTGTGAACACACAAGGTTGTGGGTTACAGGTCAAGATGCATGGAGACTGCAGCAGACAGGCCCAACAGGCTGTTCTGTAAACTCAACCAGCAATTATCTATGCTATTGCAGCTGTTGTGTTTTGTTGTAGTTATGTGGAGTTTGTCTTCAGACCCTCGTGTGATTGCATGACAAAACACAGCGATGAAAATGTATGGTTATTCACAATCCCAGTTTCTTTACCAACAGACTTTAAATGTTGAAACTGTAGTTACACATACAGCTTATCACAATCCTAAATTGTTGACAGAGTTTATTAGAGTATCTTTATACTTTCATCCAAAGATGCCCAGAATTATATGCTTTTATCCAGTAGTTTTTAGAAATTTGGATGAAAGATCCTCAATCTGTAGGAGGATATGTGTTATAGCTCCTTTATTTATTTTTGCATTTTTCACTGTTTTGCTGAGTTGTAGACAAATTATTCCTATTGGAATATTATAGATTGACAGAGATTAGTGTAAACTTACTATCCTTGACACAGCAGGAGATTTTAAACTCGCTGCTTAAGGGGTTTAAAAATTTTTACACTTTAGCTTTTATCACACCAAAGAAATGTAGATAATTAAAAGACAAATTATGAGAAAGAAGAAATATCACAGAAATTTTCATGGGGTCAAAAATATGAGAAGACATGGTGTGCAATGTATTAAATATCTGGATGAGATATAGAAAAATACCTTCCTGTACTGAACAATAGGCCTGCATAACATGGTGTGATGAGTAATGTTATTAAAGGGGAGAGCCTTCTCTTGTGGATACACTTCAGGTAAGTGCACATCAGAGGTAACTTTAAAAAGTTCTTTAAGGCAAAAATTTAATATAGTTATGGTATACAGTATTCAACTTGAGTTTTAATTATCTTTTCTGTAGAAAAATACTGTACCTTAGTTTCTCCTGTGGTCCCTTTGCCAGCCTGTTTATTATTTTTGTTAAGTGCATCTATAATTCATGGTCAACAAATAAGCTTAGCTTAAGAAGTGATTCTTTCATCAGAGAAATTTTTACAGGATTTGCAGACCTACTGTATCAGGTATGGATTTCTCGTCAATGTTATATACCAAACTTTAAATTTCATAATTCCTGAATTTTCTCATAACATCTGAAGAGTCACGTTCCCATCCTGCTGTTGGCCTAGAAACAGCAGACTCTTTTCCTCTGCTGTATAGTAGACCTTGCTCAGAACTCCTTCTGGCGCCTGGCTTAGGGTGAGGAGCTTGGGAGGTGCCAGGCTCCAACATTCTCTCTTTTGTGTTAGGCGTTGCCCAGTGAAATGTCTGTTGGTGTGCAGATGCTGTTAGACACTTTAACTCATGATATATATGCTTAAATACAGTATTTTAAATTGATTGTGCAAATTTTATAAATTACCTACATGTGAAAATTAAATACTACAGTATTAAATACTGTATCTATATCTAGGTACTGTACTGTATAAAATCTGAATGATGATGAGCAAGTTCCATTTAATATACTGTACTGTAATACTGTATAAAATATTGTACATCATTATCCATATTAACAGCACTGTCTGATAATTGGAAATTTTTTTCCCTTTCCTACCCTGAACCTAGTCAAGTTGCAACAGATGTTTAAACCATTACTGCCTGGATATTTTCATATTTATTTTTTATTTTTTTTATAAAAATAAAATGCATAATTTAACTAAAATCTTGATGTTTATCATCATTTCCAATGTACTGTATTCATAGTTTTCATTCAATTTATTTTATATTTAAAAAAATAAAATAAAATAAAAATTTTCAAAGTAAATCCTAAACATCATTTCTTACTTTTTTCACATTAAGTACCTGTACTGTACTATACTTCATTTGAATCCCTCTAACCCCGCCTGGTATGTACAGTAGAGTCAGAACTCCCAGTCCATTTGATAAATTACCTGCCAGTACTGGGAGAGAGGGATTAACGATGAAAACTACAGTGTCGTGCATGTGGATAATTACCAAATACTGTATTCATAGGTAATATAAATAACAAAATATTAGACAAATCATGTTTCATTAGAAATATGGCTCCTTTTTCTATGAGAGGTTTAGTCCTGGGATCCAGCATTGGTTCATACTTGTCAAATCGGAATTCAGAGGAGTTGGTGTAGTGGGGGAATATTGTACAGGATGATGCATGGAAACTGTTTTTCAATAGTCAAGCTTATTGTTCACCATTAAAATTTTGAAAATGTAACACTGGATGATTATAATAATGTTTACACCTACTGTACTTTAAAGTGTTTCCTTAGATATTGGGGCTTTAGGTACAGAGTAGTTTGATTGATACAGTAGAAATAAATATTTGATCAGTGAAATCGTCATATAAGTTTACATTGGTTCATCTTGTACTGTACTGTAGTGTAGTATGTTGCCATAGTCACGGGGGGGAATGACTGCAAGAACTAATAATATGGGGGCACAGAGGTAACATGCTTGCCTCACCTCTGAAATCATTCTGTTTAATTTAGTTTCAAGTCAACAAGTTGGGACCTGGGGTTTTACCCCTTAAACTGATCTAGCAATAATGTACAGCATTACCTGAACCTTGCTCAGATATAAAATCAAATTTTAGAATCAATTTTCCATTTTTCTCATTAAGATTAATCCGTGACATTCTGTATACAGGTAGTGTAGTATGAATCCTGTGAAACTAAAAGAATGGTATGGTAAATTAAATAAAATTTTATTCATTAAGGTAATTACAATTACTGCTTCTTGTCTGATCAATGAAGTTAAGCAATGTTGGGTCTGGTTAGTACTTGGATGGGTGACTGCCTGGCCTTAAGATACTGTAGGCATAAGGACTCTACTGGAAACAAGCCTTGCATGGCATTGATCAAGCTGACTGAACCTAATTTCTTTTATTTAAATACATGAAGGAGTTCTCTTCAGTAAGATGGACAGTAAATAATCCCTTTGATTGTGGGAAAAATGTAAGCATTGAATTAGAATAGGCAACCTTGGGAGACGGGGAAAATTATTTACTAGAAGGGTGGGAAATATAGGCTTATATGACTCCTAGAGAAATTATTATTTGTAATTCAGTGCTAATCTGAAAAAAATTCTTTGGACTATTTAAGGTACACTACTGTATAACAGTAATGTACTATACAGGTACACTCACACGCCATAGTTTCGATGCACCCTCTACCCTGGACTCGATGGAAGTCGTAGCCTTGGCTTCATACCGACCCCCCCCTCACTTCCCCCACCCATCGTTCAGTGGTGCAATGTGGTAGCTCGAAGCTTCGCTGGATTGTACAAATAGCAGTTCATGATGTAATATTTGAGAGAATATATACACGATACATTTTTTTAGTGACTTCACAACACTTTATTTACCAGGGTTTGCAGCCGTGACTACGACTTCCCTCGAGCCAGGAGAAGGGGTAGAGGGTGCATCGAACTATGGCGCGTGAGTGTTCATAAATAATTAATTTTACCAAAGAAAATTATTTATAAATAAGAAGAGCTCATAAATATAAAATTGATTCTATTTAATGTACATTTCTTTATAAAACTTTTTAGATAATTATTTACATATTACAGTACTGTACAGTATTTGGATAACTGCATTATGTTAGAACAAAACTTACTGTGTTCATATGTTGTTTCATGCCACACCATTGCTCATAACTTACAGCTATGCCACTGTTCAACCATCGATCATACTGAGTCTTCTTCTCTGGGTCTGTAAGTGTATCCTTGGCAACCTGGCATAAAGAAAAACAAATAGAGTTGAATTATCCGAAGAATGTTATTAGGAAATTATTTAGGGTAAGATGCCCCTACAGAAAACTTAAGAGCTATTCTTCTACTTATTGAACCATCGTTTTATCGATAATAATCACCTAAAAATATATTTTTAAAAGTTAATATTTCTAAGGATGACTGTAAAAAATACAGTATTCCTTTTGGTCACATCAGGGATGGAAAAATATGTGTCTCCAACATTGCTATCACACTTGTGCCTCAACAAACTATCATGTACAGTACAGTAGTTCATCTGCTGATGAGTTGGATGCTTTCACACAACACTGGATGATTCCACATAGGAGTCTATAAAAACTAGAGTCATAAATTCTCCATTCTCTTAGTCATAGAAATTGCCACAGTGGACTAGGAATAAGAAATACAAAAAAGCCATATAAATACATGACCAGTCAGTCATATGTAGCCAGCAGGAGGGAGCCTAAAACATGAGTCTCCTCCACATCCTCAGGCAAGATCACAACCCATCCCACAACTTACAACTTCTAACCAATCTACTTGAATATCTTAGATCAGGAACACCATGTCTAATATAGTACCTGTACTGTATATGGATGTACATAATGCCTGGTTACTTACAGATAAATAGGGTAATACACTTGACCATGGAAACTATAGTGGCCTGAAGTTGTTAGATCAGGATATTAAAGTTATGGAAATGGCCAGTAAGAAATTTAAAAGGGAGAAAGTGGAAATTAATGAAATGCAATTTGGGTTCACGCCAGGCAGTAGGACAACAGAGGTAATATACAGTACAGTGTATGGTAAGGCGACTTAACACCTTAGTCTGTCCATTATAGAGAGGTTGTTTCATGCAATTCAGCAAGATATACAGTACTACAATGTATACAAACACATTGGTGCCACATCTCAGAAAACATGACAACCACTACTGTACCAGGTATAATTGTCAGATCTCCCCACAATATTGTAGCCACAGTTTACTTTCCTAATAAAGCTGGCAGTGGTGACTTGGTCAATACACAAGAGAATACAGTACAGTAGTTGTCTTTCTTATGGTACCTGACAATTTTGGCAGACTAAATGTTAAGCTAGAAAATAATGAAAATTTTCAAGTCTAACCTGTAATTTCTGGAATTGTAGCTCAGCCTCGGGATTATCAGGGTTCTTGTCTGGGTGTAGCTGTAGTGCAAGCACCTTATATTCAGTCTGGATTTGTTCAACCTGTAATAAAAACAAACAAACATATATCTTTTTAAACATTTTATTTCCACCACTTGCCATCTTACTAGATGTTCAGGCGGTTGGTCCATTCCTTGTCCAGTGTTATTACAGGGGGGAATCTGAAGTAACCAGAGAAAGCCTGTGGTGCTTGGTAGGGTCACACTGGATAACACCCTTCTCACATTTGTCCCAGTCCACGGACTGAACCCAGGAAACAAAGGTACGAGATTCACACATTACCGCTGTACCACCAACACCTCGGTATCAAGATTACACAGAAAATATATACCTGTATTAAATGTTTCATCATTCAGTGATAAAAATACCATGATTGAATTGATGCAAGATACAAGTTGACAGATTGAATATTAGGTCTTAACGACTTGAATAGCTAAAAAACATCAGTTTTACATTAGTACAATATCATGATTGTAAGGTTATTGAAGGTAAAGATATTTAGCATAACTAAAGAGGTTACTGTACAACACTGGCTTCCTGCCCAAATAGGAAGTCATGCCAATGTGACCCATATCACTTTATCATTGTAATGCAAAGAGGAAATAACTTTTAATTGTATGTTAATTTATGTACGGTATTTCTTTGTCATTTGAAGGTTCAGTATTTAAATAAAGAAACAAATTTTCCAGGGTGACTACATATGAGAGTTATTGAAGAGGTGCAGTACTTTTATGGCCTGATGTTCACCACCAGATGGCTCCAGTAATGTTCACATTAAGTCTGGTAGGTTGACCCTATTCTTATTTACTAAAATCATTCTTTCTGTTAATGTTGTAAACCACGTAACCTCTTCAGCCAGTATAGATAGCTATGTTTCTTGTTTGGGTAAAATTCATCGCCTTATATTTGTCCATTAGCTCTATCTCACTCTTGAACACATAAGAACCATCACTGCTGAACATATAAGAACCATCACTGCTGAACACATAGAACCATCACTGCTGAACATATAAGAACCATCACTGCTGAACACATAAGAACCATCACTGCTGAACACATAAGAACCATCACTGCTGAACATATAAGAACCATCACTGCTGAACACATAAAAACCATCACTGCTGAACACATAAGAACCATCACTGCTGAACACATAAGAACCATCACTGCTGAACACATAAGAACCATCACTGCTGAACATATAAGAACCATCACTGCTGAACACATAAGAACCATCACTGCTGAACACATAAGAACCATCACTGCTGAACACATAAGAACCATCACTGCTGAACACATAAGAACCATCACTGCTGAACATATAAGAACCATCACTGCTGAACACATAAGAACCATCACTGCTGAACACATAAGAACCATCACTGCTGAACACATAAGAACCATCACTGCTGAACACATAAGAACCATCACTGCTGAACACATAAGAACCATCACTGCTAAGAACCATCACTGCTGAACACATAAGAACCATCATGAACACATAAGAACCATCACTGCTGAAACATATAAGAACCATCACTGCTGAACACATAAGAACCATCACTGCTGAACACATAAGAACCATCACTGCTGAACACATAAGAACCATCACTGCTGAACACATAAGAACCATCACTGCTGAACACATAAGAACCATCACTGCTGAACACATAAGAACCATCACTGCTGAACACATAAGAACCATCACTGCTGAACACATAAGAACCATCACTGCTGAACACATAAGAACCATCACTGCTGAACACATAAGAACCATCACTGCTGAACACATAAGAACCATCACTGCTGAACACATAAGAACCATCACTGCTGAACACATAAGAACCATCACCTCTAAATTTTATGAGTAAACAGTTAAAGGTCATCCTTGGGGATACATTGTTTTTTTTTCATGATAGTTAAAGGTCAACCACAGAACCTCACAATTCTATTTATATTGGGAGAAATAGCAAAAAACATATCCTGTTACATTACCATTGCAAATTTATATTTTTTCGAGTATTTTGTACTGTTAATTAAAGTAATTTTTTTTTACACACCGGAGGGGGAGGTCCAGGGAGCTGAGACCCCCCCACCCCCCTTGGCTAGGAAGTCCTTCTGGTTTCTCTGGTTAAGTTAGGTTTCGTTTCGCCAGTTTTTTTGCGTGTTTTACCCCACAAATTCCCACTTCTTTAAAGCCCTGCCCACTTTGAACAACCATGTGGTTAATTCGAGAGGGGGGAGGGTCATATTTCCATAACTCATTTGCGACGTAAATGACGGTCACATTCACTTGAAACAATACAAAATATTCTAGAAAAACCTATAATTGTTAGTAGTTTCCGTGGTGGACTGAGAATAAGAAGGGCTTGCATTGAAGAAAGCTTAAATGGTACCCAGTCTGCAGAACGGATAAAAAACAAAATGTTATAAAGATGTTTAATGACATAGAAGTTTTTGAAGGATTTATTTAGATTCGAATTAATACAGTTTCAGATAATTCTACAGATTAAATTTAATCTAAATTATGAAATTAACTAGGGATCACAGGCTTATGTTAAAGAAGCCACAAATTGAATCACGAAGTTACAAGATAAAGGTGTGTCTTGGGCTCACATTCACAAAGATTCGTGTGTTTAAGCTAAACGCCAAACTGAAGTTTACTGAACAAACGTACAGTAAACACCTAACCGGTTTATATATATATATATATATATATATATATATATATATATATATATATATATATATATATATATATATATATATATATATATATATATATATATAAAGAAATCACGAATATGACACGTGACAATCATGTGTGAACTTGTAAACCACGTGGGAAAAATAAAATTACAATATTACTTAAATTTGCTTTCGTGTACAGTATTTAACACACCTTCAGAAACAAATTACACAGAGTCAGTCAGAAAGAGCTACATATTTCCTCTGTCACCCTGGGGGCTACTGACCCACGTAGAGTCCAAGGGGGTGTAAGCAAGTAGCTCGGTAAAGTCAAGTCAACCTAAGCTTCCTCACAGAACAGAAAGAGATAAATTTCTAAACCAAAAGAGCGGGTCATATCTAATAAAATCTATTCTCTGAGCAACAGAGATGATAATGAAGTAACTGTGTGTGCGTGAGGACCGATAGCATTCATTTATTAAGCGTGTACCTGTGTGTGTATGTTCAACACATCCACTGAATAATGCACTTGTTTCCTTACCAACTAAAGCGAAGAACTGTAATATGAACTTCCGGGTGTATTACCTACCCTCTTCAACTTTAAGACTCTCTCTCTCTCTCTCTCTCTCTCTCTCTCTCTCTCGTCTCAGTTTCTGAACGAAGTATCTCAGAAATGAATTCATCGATTGATATGACATTTGACAGACGTGTTCGGAGGTCACAGCAAACGTACCAGACTCAATTTTGGTGAAAGGTCAAAAGGTCAAGGTTAAAGAGCATACTATACACCACAGCCGCTAAAACAGGTCAATTAGTCGAGTGTTATTACGCTCGTAGGATGTGATTGACTTAAGTTTTATCACAATTAACAGACCAGGTTTTTTTAGGTCTTCCAGGGGGTGTCCTTTAAGCGTTTACCATAACATCTGAAAATTAGACACCCCTGATGATTAAACACAATTAACACTATCTGGAGGGGTTAAATAAGCTTAATTAGGTTAATTTCTGTTAGGTTAGACTAGGTTAGCTTGGATTAGGTTAGGTTTTGTTAGATTAAGTTAGCTTGGATTAGGTTAGGTTTTGTTAGATTAGGTTAGGTTTTGTTAGCTTGGATTACGTAAGGTTCTGTTAGGGTATTTAATAATCACCTTTTAATAAGCTAGGGTGCCTAATCTTCAGGTAATCCGATTTAACTTGCCTGGGATCTTTATCTTTCATCAACCAGGAACGAAATTACAGTATATTAATCCTTACCATGAGTTCGATCCTTCTACACAAAATTAATTAAATATCTTGCTAAAAAAAACTGGATTAATACTGATGAAAAAAATGGTTAGAGTTAGATGTTGACTAGTAAAGGAACTGCAGATGCTTTCGGTGGAGTCTAATTACTCAAAGTTTGAACGTCATATAAGATAGCAAACACAGGTAGACCGATTTTAATCAAGAATGTCAGATAAATGGAATGATGGCTGAGTTAACTGTGTGTGTGTGTGCTAGAGAAAAGTATACTAAAAATGTGTACACTAATTTGACGGGGATTGGCAGGTGGGTCGGGAGTTACCTTGGGGTTAATTTTAATTTTGAGAGAAGTAGGTCATACGATAACAACATATGTCCAGGTCATTAATCGAGGTCAAGGGTCATTAACTAAGCTCAGAGCTGCCAGGAATCCAATGCTTTGTTCGTTCATATGAGAGGTAATAATCGTTATATTGACTGGACTAATGCCTTCCTCACTAAACAAAAGCCCTTCATCCTAATCTACAGGCGCCAAAGTCTGTACTCGCCCCCGAAGATGTATTTCATTCAATTGCTTTTATCTAAATTTCTTTCGTTTCTATTTTATTTAATAATGTATATTTATTATGTATTAATCAGTTATTACCATTGTTATCATTATCATCACTACTGTAACATTTATTTGTCGTCATAATAGGGGGTTCAAAGTTGGCGCGGTAGTTTCTGGAACTTGCGTGTACGTTTATTTCTAAATAAATTCATAATATGTGTACGGACTTAAGAGTTGTCAAATTAACTTTCTTCTTAATTTAATTCTATACAATGAATCCGGTGTGTTGAGAGATTGATGTTTGTATGCCCCTATACTTATTATAAACGTCTAATTCTATATAGTACACATACACACAGTTTCAAAAATATTGTGCCAATTTTGAACCTCTAATATGACCTCTTAAATGAATTTGTTTTTTGTCTTGCTCAGGTAACTGTTTAAACAATCTCACTAAACCTGAAAGTGCATGGCAAGAACTACTCACTGCATTTTGGTATGGTAAACTATTAATAAAATTGTCATACCTCATAAAATTATTTAAGCAAATATTGTCATCTCAGCAACGCACTAAAAGATAAATGGAATTAATTTTGAAATATCACAGTTTTAGAGGGACCAGTAGCTGTTTTAGTTTATATCCAACACTTAAAAATAATGTTAACAATACCAATAACTGTGACATATAACCTTTAAGATATATACGTAGATTTCCGGTCACGTACTACAAACTTAATGGCTTGCTTAGTAGGAAACATTTTCACATCGAGTGTGCATTATTATCTAAAATATGTTATCATTAAACAAACGCCTCCCGCCCATTAAAATATAGGTTCATAAAACCTCTATCTGTAAATGTAGAATGTGACAGCAGATAATGGTCCAAAAAATCAATGAAGACTCCTGGCGCAACAGGTCTACGCGTTTCTTGAAGCTGAGCAATTTCGATAAAAGATTACATTTGATTTTTGCATTACTTACCGAAGAACTTGGGTCACATCCAAGAATGATGTAGTAATTATCTGTTTTCTTGTCACTAGAGCTCAAAATTTCATCCATCATTATGATCAGTCTTGATGGTCGAAGATGAATATATTTCTGCCCGCCGTGAGTGAGGGTGAACTGTTGCAATCCACGAAAGGAAGGCAGACTTGCGACCTGACGTCGAAGGACTTATGACGTCAATGTTTCCTGCGGCGCTGATTGGGTGAATTGAGTATTATCTGCACAGCTTTTCACCAATCAGAGCAGTTCTTATCTCCACTCCCTTGTTTACTTTCTGGAACGTTCAAACTGAAAAGAAATAACTATTTTCAGAACATGTATGTGCAATTGCTCTGTAAATTTAAAGGTTGAATTATTATGATATATATTATAATAATGTAATGAATATAAGATAACTAAATGCTTGAAAATTGCCAACACACTTCTGTTTCTTCTAATCTTAACGCGATTCCGTGAAAGTGTTATGACGTCATCATTTAGGATGCAAACACTCCTAGCATCTCTTCTAGTGAGCAAATAGATAAATAGATTGACATCCTAAGTAGACATTTATGCAGTCAAATCGTCGTAAAATTTTACATTTGCCTAACATATATGTAAACAGTGCAGAGATGCAAACAATGTCAAAAAATCGATTCAAATCAAGTTTGAGGATTGTCTGATCCTCTTCGCTACTCGTCAGTTTATTAGCTAAGTACAGGCATATGTGCTATTCTAATGTGGAGTAAATATGCTGTTAAATTTCAGAAACTTGTGCGCAGTTTTAAATGTTTCCCGAATCTGTGCGCTTGCTGAGAGTTGTTCCGTACCTTGACCTTGCTCTAAGCGTTGTAATAGAAAACGTGCAAACTATATTTGAAGGGTTGACCTAAATATCTTGTGGTTTTAAACTACACTCCACAAACAATTGTTTATAGATTGTGGATGTCTTTCCATTCCCAAGTACGTGTACCCTGGGGCGAATACTTGTTTGTCACGAGGTGGCTAATATGCATTCAGAGAAGAAGTAATGTGTGTCAGCGACCATACAAATAATGCCTTTGGTTAAGAACTGAGATTAGATATTTTCACAGTACTGTAGACGTAGTGGGTAACAAAATGTAGGCTATGTATCTAAGTCAACCTTACCTCCAAATTGTTGGTCGAATAAGTAATAGTGGTACAGAGTGCAGGAAATTTTTAAAAATCCCAAGGAAAAAGATTTTGTGGTAAAAGGAGGTATTTTTCATCTGACTTACCTCAATTTGAAAATTTTATTGGTTTATTAAGTTCTATTTTGATTGTTGTTTCAACATGATGTGACTTAATAGTGTTAATACAGAAAGAGAATCTTATGTCAACACTAGTTCATTGACCAAACACTCAAGTGAAGTAATATGATGTTTCTGATGATATACAAATATTTGATGTCAAGTATAACTCTTTTTTATATTCATAGTCTTATGAAAGGGTTAATTTTGGAACAACTGGTTATCTATTTGAATCCTCCTCCCCACCAGAACTACTGCCTGGGAGCAAGAGCCCTCCTCTATCACTGGCTATCTGTCAGGAATCATTTATAAGGTCTTGTCGTCCTCAGAGTGGCAGCTGTTCTGATGAATATTGCAGGCGTAACAAGAGAGCAAGAGTGATTTATGTCTAAGCATGACTAACACTGAAATACTGTATGATGAAACATGTGTGTGCCACCGTTGTTAGTCAGGAAATTCAGCTGGATCTGCGTGTATCACTGTGAACAAGTAAAATGGTGTGTGTGTGTGTGTGCACAGGGTACCGTCCTCATATCTGAGGGTTGGCGACCACAGACCAAAGTCGCCATACAAATGTTTGCCGATGACACCAAGTTATTTCGGAAAATCAAGAACCATGCGGACTGTTAAGAGCTGCGGAAGGATCTCTGTGAACTCCAGGAATGGTCGAAGAAATGGCTGCTGAGATTCAATGTCACGAAATTGTTACGACCGTGTCGTATTTTTCTATTTTTTTTTTTTTTATACCATGCTTCCATGTTCCATATTATTCCTGTAATGATGTGTTGTATTTACTATTATATAATCTAGTCACCTTAACCCTGTGCTGTTAACGTTTTAACTGTTATTATTTGTTCAAACTCATTTTGTATTGTAACCAGCATTCTTTGTTCTCTAACGACCATCTGCATCGTTAAACGACCCACCGGCGGGTCGCGTGGCGGGAGCCGACCTTATATATAGGACCCACCAACTGACGGAGTTAGTTCAGTCCTCTTGTCATACAGTCCACACCCTTTGAGTGACACTCGTCACCTGTTACTTATACTTAAGTTATTTGTGTTGTTCCTGCCGCCACCAATGTGGTATATCTATGTGAGTACCTATTTATGTCCATCAGTATTTGCTTCGTTACATTTAAGTAATTCAGTGTTTCACGTTAGTTAATTTCAGTGTTAGTTTTTATATGTTTATGCAGTGTTAACGTAATCCAATGCTTTATTTTTATTTTTTTGATGTTTCGATGTTTAGTATCGTATGTGTCTTAAAAGTTACGATGGTGAATCGATTTGTTGTGACAGCCTACGAGGCTCTATATTATGTTGATATTTAATTAATTCAATTCTTAAAGGTTTATTTTATTTATTTTTATTCCCTTTTAATTTACTCCACATTTTTGTTTGGTTACGCCTAGAACCTGGATATTTAAGTAAATTAAGAGACGGCGTAACAAAGTGTAAGAGGATGCACCTGGGGCGTACCAACGGTAAGGAGGCGTATCATATGTCCCAACGTGATGAAGAAACTGCACTATTTGAGACTGAATGTGAGAAGGACCCAGGTGTGTATGTTGACAATGAGCTGAAGTTCTCGGGCCATTGCGAGAAGAAGGTAAATCATACAAATAAATGATTGGGCCTTATGAGAAGGTCGTTCAGATATCTAAACGGTCCGTCCCTCGTAACGATCTTCAAGAGTGAAGTGCTTCCCCATCTGGAAAATTGTCACCAGACTGGTGCCTGCACTTCGGCAACTCAACTACCCTGAGAGATTGGAGCGCCTGAACTTGCCTAGCTTATACTACAGACGGGCAATGGGCGACCTAATTGGGGTGTGTAAGCATCTCAAGGGGCACTACTCAGTTGAGTGTCCTTACTTGAGGCTGGCGGACGCTCGCGCCACAAGGGGTCACAGCTCAAGATTGCAGAAGCAGCAGGTCCAGAAAACTGTGATGGCAAACTTTTTCGGAGTGAGAGTTGTGAATTCTTGGAACAATCTACCAGAAAGTGTTGTGACGGCACCGAGTGTGAGCTCTTTCAAGAACAGACTTGACCAACACTGGAGCAGCTTCAGGTACATTCAGGAGCCGGTGCATGCCCAGTACTTGCCAACAGTGTGTAACAGAGACGTGACCGATCGCCCAAGCGGCTAGCGAGCCGATCAGTGGTGAAGAGGATAAAAGTAAAAAAGAAGAGCTGCAGGTTGTCTGCTGACCCACAGATAATTATCGCACTATTTGCTATAAGGACCATTTAGGTTGTACAAAAAGGACCTTGAACATGTTTACCCCGGTGGCTTATGAGGACTCTCTCTCTCTCTCTCTCTCTCTCTAACTCTAACAAATCCTGCGTTCGTCTTCACCTTTTCTTCCCGCACAGTTCATTAAGTCGTCACAATATGTTAGTACGCAAAACAATATTGTTAACACCATTTTACTTCATACACAGAAAACCATTCAATTATTTTTACGTAGATCCAGAGAAAATTTACTTCTAATCTGAGCCTTTACTTGGCCTTGTACGATGTTGTTCGAGATCCATTGGTATGTGTGCCTCGCTTTAAGGTATTGTTATTGTTATTATTATTATATTTATTATTACTACCAATGATAAATTCTGTAATCATTATAATTGTCAAGAGCATTCATGTTTTCCCTCACAATATCAGCAAGTATAATACACTAAGTCATACTTTATACACCAAACAACTGGTCTTGTAAGGTGGTGTATAAATAATTCATATTTAGCAAATATTCTGAGAGAAAGTGGATCTCGTAGCCTTCAGCCTCACTGTTGACTTCAGATGGCGTCAGAATGATCGACACAACACTTGACCACCTTTACTTCCCACACTGTAAAGTTATGTACTGTACAGACTCATAGCTGGGTGGATAAACAGTATTCCGAGCGCCAATCATCCATACCTAGAACAGGAGGCAGACGCTATTGCACTCAGCTGCCGCCCATCTCAATCTTTCTGTTTTAATTAATGAAAACGTAAAGTAAAAGAACGAAAATCCTAAATTTGTTTTTTTTTCTGTTTTTCCTGTGTAGGTCAGATATCTTTGTGCCATATTTTAGCCTGTTAAGTCAGACTGAGGGAACTGTGAGTCAAATTCTGTGTTTGCCTCAGTTTACTGTTTTCATCACGAACTCTTTAAGAAATTGAATAGAACCTAAATACTGTAAACACATCCCCAATAAACTCCAGGAAGATTGAAGGGTTAGCACTCAGGTGTATAGTTTGAAAGTTGAAGTTATAAAGAAACCATAACAGTAAAACGATAAGTCTTCCATCTTTTAGCGTGACAATTGCAATAACAAGTTTTGTAATTTCTATTTTTATTTTAGAATAATTACAGAAATAATAAACTAACCAATTACAGATGTCAGTCATGTAGAAATAGGTTATAGAATATACAGAATATATAATTGATTGTAAATAGAAAATAATTGTGATGTATTGGTCCCTGGTCCGTACAGTGTATATATATGAATGGAGGAAACTGCAGAGGGCCTATTGGCCCATACTGGGCAGTCCCATTTACACCCAAACCCTATTGCTCATATATCCATCCAACCTACTGTATACTTGAAGCTATCCAGCGTATTCGAGTTAATGATGATATTTGGTAACTCGTTCCACTCGTCCATTACTCTATTTCCAAACCAATGTTTACTTATCTCGCGTCTTAATCTAAATTTGTCTAATTCAAAACCATTGTTACGAGTTCGCTCCTGGTTAAATAGTTTGAGTACCTTTGCAATGCCCTTTGTTTAGCCCTGACTTCCATTTATACACCTCTATTATATCGCCCCTCACTCTGTCTCTCGAAGGAGTGCAAATTAAGATGCTCTAACCTGTCTGTACTCAAGGTTCTTAATGCCCAGGATTAGTCTTGTCATTTTCCTCTGAATTCTTTCTAGGGATTCTATATCCATTCTGTAGTACGGTGACCAGAATTGAACCGCGTAATCCAAGTGAGGTCTCACAAGCGCAAGATACAGTTTTAGGATGACCTCGCTAGTCTTGTAACTAACACTCCTTTGTCTGAACCGAAGTACTTTATTAGCCTTGTTTCGAGCAAATCCACATTGTTTACTTGGCTTAAGATTCCTACTTATCATTACTCCTAAATCTTTCTCGCAGTCGGATTTCTCAATAACATCGTTGTTCATCTGGTATCTGGTTTCCCTGTTTACATCTCCTATGCTGAATACTTTACATTTGTCCACATTAAATTTCATCTGCCATTTTTCAGACCATTCGAAAAATTTGTTTAGATCTGCCTGTAGTTTTGCGGAGTCCTCGTCAGATTTAAATACACGCCCTATTTTAGTGTCATCAGCAAATTTACTTGTGTTGCTGTCTACGCCGACATCTATGTCGTTTATGTATATAATAAATAATAATGGTCCGAATACTGAGCCTTGGGGAACTCCACTAGTGACGTTGCTCCAATCGGATTTGTGCCGTTCATGCTCACTCGCTGTTTCCTGTCCTGTACGCCCTAATCCATTTTAGAATATCTCCTTTAATGCCATGAGCCTCCATTTTTCTTATTAGTCTTTCGTGGGGGACTCTGTCGAAGGCTTTGCTAAAGTCGAGATATACCACATCATAATTGTGCCTCCCAATTCAACACGAACTAGGAGGGACGAGAACAGTGGGATGAGGACAGGAAAACGATACGTATGTTAAAGATTTATTACGTTAATATATAAGTCTAAATAGTCTCTGGTAGTCGATAAAATGTGTTATTCCAAAGAAATTGATAATTCCTAAATTAATGTAACCTTTATGACCCACAGATATTTTACTGTTTACGATTCTAATAACGGGTAAACAACATTCCCGTTCAACTGTATAAGAATCCCCGTTGTTCTCTGCGATGACTAGATTTCCGTTTACAGATATGGATATCCTGGTTTTCTTTTAACGGGTAAGAGACATTTCCGTTCAACTGCACCGTCACACACTTTGTACACTACAGTACTGTTGATTCCAATCTTAGATATAGTCTCAACTACAGTTCTCAGTCTCCGCTAACATTCACTTGTTGCTGTCAAGTGTGTCTGTTTGTCTCTTACTCCACCATGACTCTTCCTGTTACCCACAGTCAAGACAGTCGTTACTTGACTTTGAGGTAGGATGAATTAGGTATTTCGAAGTCTACATCATATCGCAGTCTTATCTCTTGTGTGCACCTTCCCTACAAACTTGGCTGGATTTTCTAACGTCTCTCTTTGCTATTTACAACTAATCTATAATTTCAAATAGAATCTTTCTTCACTGTCCACAACTGGTACTTGATTTTCTTTCGCCAATAACTCCGCTGCAACTTCAGTTACAACTAAGGCCGAAACTTGTCGTCACTTTACCTACACATATTTTCTACTATAATGCTATACCTTGTTACCGTCTACAGCTTGGACTTAACCTGACACGGGTCCTCCCTGGAGAGCACCGCCATGATGTTGCCAGAAGGTGTGTCCACGGGGAGGAACACCTCATTGTTGTCCTTGCTACCCACCTCCTTGAACTTGCTCAAGTCGACGGTGTAGTAATGCTTGTTGGGCATCGTCACCTTGATCTGGGATATCTGTCGTACAACACCAGTATTTAGAATGTGAGGGATAAATAGTACAATTGAGAGAGAAATATATGTATTTGTCACTTGCTGGACGAAACTATAAAACCAACCTTAAGCTGCCTGGAAGAGTTAAGTTACTGTAGGTTAGATTAGGTTAACGTAAGGTTTGGTTATTTTAAGTGGAATAATCGAAGGTGTCTCATCATTAGGTCATTCAGCTACTGTATATGTACTTGACCCTGAATAGTCTGGGATCGTCCATACTGACCTCCGGAACGTCTGTTAGCGCGGCCTGCTGGATGAGGTGAACAGTGTTCTGGACGGAGGGGGAGAAGATGCCGGTATCAGGCGGTCCAGAAAACTTATCGTTGATTATCTTCAGTATCGTCACCCTGTGGGGAGACAGGTGTTGTGTTATACTGAGGGCCAGAGGGGACACAGTTGTAAAGCAAACTATCCAGAACTCGTTTAATCAGTGGATCAATGTATAAACTCTTAAATCTATACATGTTAATTGGTGACAACAGAGAAGATTACTACACAACCTCCTCCCCCCCACATAGTCCATCTTGACGTGTACTGAGCCAGACTACAGACACGTACATCTTGACCTGAGACTGGATAGCACACACACACACACACACACACTGTAGTCTTTGTTCCACTAATGATCTTAATATCATTTGTTTGTTTTTATTCTTTTGCTTTTCGTATCTCATGTTCTACCTTACATCCTCCCAACTCTATCTCTCTCTCTACTGTTCACACACACACATATACTCGATCCATCCATCCACCCTTCCTTCCTTCCTTCCTTCAATTCCAACCTCCCACTCCTTCCCCCTTACCAGATCTTGCCGAAGTCGACGCCCTTGTGTTTGTTATATTGCCAAGAGGATGACACGATGGTCGAGAAGATGCGGTCCTTCATGTCAGGCAAGGTGCGGAATTCATCGCTAACGAAGTTGACGAAGGCGGACTGGGTCGTCTTGAGTACCCGCATCCCTTCCAATCCCGTGGTGACCAGCGGCTCCTCTAAGGTCGGGAAGACAAGTGCAGTGGTGAGGGATCGTAGAGAAGGAAGTGAGAGGAGGAGGAGGAGGAGGAGAGGTAAAAGAGAAGGAGGGAAGGACAGGAGAAAGAGTCGAAAGGAGATGATGATTACAAGACTCATCAGACAAATAGCAGATAACAAACCAACGATGATGCTTTCTCTTTGCCACACTCGGGTTCACGGATATTGCCACAAGGAGAAGTGGCCGTGTGTGTGTGTGTGTGTGTGTGTGTGTGTGTGTGTGTTCAGAGGTGACGGGGAAGGGGGGGGAGGGTGGAGGTGAGAGAATAAAAATGGTAAGAAAGAGGGAAGGTTTGGTACAGTAAAGAGAGATGTTCTAGGTTGTAATAAGATCAAAACAGACCAACTGTGATGAAGATGACGATGATAGTGGTGATGAATGAGACTCAGGTGTACTCTCACTGCACCTCCCCTGACCTGGCACGTCACTTCAGTCTCTCTGGAGCCAATGCTTGACCTCTGACTCCTTATTGTAGGACATGACTTGACTAAAACAACAAATCATAACCTTCCCCCTCCTGTAATAATGACCTGCTTGCCTGCTCGCCAACTTACCTCCACGCTTCTGGTCTACTTTGCAAGTGTGCAGACACTCAGGGGAGTAGATGAAGGAGTGGTTGTGGGCGCGGCCTTCCACCACCTGACGGCGCCACGGATAAGCATCCACGGTAATGACCACCTCTTGCACGTGAGGGTACTTAGCAAGGAAGTGGGAGCACAGCAGCAGCGCGAAGTCTTCCGGGGACGTTACCTGCGGGAGAGTGGAGCAGGGTCAGCAGATGATTGGTTGACAGTTAACATGACGACATTCCTCTAATTGTTTACGTTTGATGAGCTGACTGGTCTAGGCAGAGAACATGATGCCTCCTGTATCATTATAGGGGTGTTAATTGCTGGTGCAAAGTCTCAAGAGTAGACGGACGAATAGATACATGGACAACAACTGTATCCTCCTTAGACCTTAATTAATGGTGGAAGGACGGGCTGATGAAGAGAACTAGCAGAAGACTACAATACCTGTTGCTGCGCCACCTACCCCGTGCTTCTTGGCCAGGATATAGACGGTGTTCTTCTGGGAGTCGGTGGCCACCACATCGGCATTATCGCCGTGAATGTAGTCCTTGTCAGAGGCCAAGGTGAGCTGGGTACTGACCACGAACTCCTTGATGGAGTGCACGGCGCTGTCACGACGTACATGCAGCAGTTTTATGCTGTTCTTGCCGTACCCTCGCTCAACCCACTTAAAATTCTTATTCATATTATCTGCAAGAAAGTTCAGAATAATAGTATAAAGTTCGGTTGTCTTTGTTGAAGGTATAAAATGGTATAAAGTGCGTAATTTGCATGTGTGTGTGTGTGTATGTGGTGAAAAACTTCTCTTACTCTGATACGATAAGTATTTCTTGGAGACATTTTATTCCAACAAAGCGTTAATCCCAAACTGTAGGGTTATATGAGCTATTCCGTTTCATCAGGTCAGTTAGTGTTTATCTTCCTGTCATCTTTTTAATATATCATTGTTACCTTCTCACAGGAGAAAACTCTCCTTCGTGGGTACTCCCTATCCCCCGCCTCTTACCTACTTACATAACATCAACAAACAAAAAAGACTACCTTCATGACTGAGGATGACGGAACATTGACTACCACCATCCTAAAGAGTGGAAATAACACTTACTGGAAAACAAAAGATAAGTTACAATCACACAAACACTCACTGGCCTGGAAGTTGGATTCTGGATTATATTTTTAAGTAGACGATTGACGAGCAGAGTAGCTGAGCGCGGCCGCCGAGAGCCCGTCATCTCCAGGGACTATGTAAAATAGTCTCACCCAACACACTAGTGAACAAAGGGGAACTTGCTAAGTGAAGGTGATATTTCCTTACATAATTGGAAGGGAAGTGAATGATGGGGAAATCAACGAAAATGGGTAAATTTAAGAACGAGAGATAAATTACAAGGATCTTGGCACACTACACCGAACTGGCTGGATATACAGTATACAAGTTTTTGTATTGCTGTATCCAGTATATAATTCGTGCATCATAGTACGAGGTGTTTTTTTTCAGGGAGTGAGACTGTGGCTCTATCACCTCTGATTATTGCTACACATGTTCGTGAAGTACCGTTCAGAATGCAACTAAGTAACCTAAGTATAGATTTAACAACTAGATATACAGGTAAAGAAAAAACTAAAGAAACATTTAAATTTAGGCTGGAGAACATCAAGCGCGTCTTAACTCTGGATATTAGCTGAAAGACCGATGGCACAAAGTCGTCTGGAACGTAAACTTAGGACACCCTGGCCTTGTCGCCACAGCCAGGGTGGAGTTGCTGCACCCGGATTGGTCAGTCAAGGTGGGCAGAGCATTATGTCCCGCCACACTCCCTCACTGCGCGCCTGGTCAAACCACGACTCCGCCTTCTAGATAATTTTCCCATGACGAACACCACCACAGGCTCACTCTACTCCTGTACTGTGCCTGGTAAGGTACTAAAAAAATCGAGGTTGGAAAATTTACACATACTGTTCCTTCTGTTTACTGTACATTGAGATGTGTGGATGGAATATTCCACGTCAGTCTATCATGATTTAAAGTGCTGTACATATTATATACGTCAGCAGCTAAGGTCTTTAAGGACGTAAACAAGACAAATTGTATTTAAGAGTAAGAGAGATATATTTCCTTATGTGTATGGCACCTCAACACAACTGTATACCAACTAGCAGGTTTAAATTTTTTAACATAACACAGAGGGTTCATGGAACAGTCTACCAGCGCAAGCTGTGGAATCAAGAAAAGTGCTAGGCTTCAAAATAGCACGGGCAAAATTATCACGAACAATGGAGAGATCCTACACAGGTCACTGGCGTCCTTCCCTCGGCAGTTAGATCTATAATAACTCTAACAGGAACACTAGTGATAGTCGACCTATTAGAACAATGCGTGGCCTAGCCCATAGCCTCGCTCAGCCGCCTGGTACTACTGGTCGAGTTATATAATAATGTCCAGTGAGGTCACAGATAACTTAAACTGAACTTTAGAGGAACCTGGGATCACCATAATATTTTAATAGAATATTAACCACCCTAACGCTACCTGGGGGAGGGGGGTTAAGTTAGGGTAGTTCGACAATGTCTATATTTATCCTGGGTTAGAAAACTAGCAGGCAGCCTCGCCACGAGCATACTGATGAGCTTAGGTATACTTGTTGCCTCAACATCCTCCACCCGCTAGCCTCACCCCAGGGATGATTTTAAAATAAATGGAACTTTAAATATATTTAGGCAGATTGACGATCAAACTTCTTGTACAGTCCTCCTAACTCCTTTGCACTGTTTACATAGTTTAATAGATGTATGGAAACTATGAATTTGCAGACCAATACGTTCAATTAGATTAAATGAAGAGTGGTGGTGTGTGGCTCGAGCACTGGTCATCTGGTAAAGTTGAGCCTCAACTCGTTGGTGGTTTCGTGGTGGGAGCCCCTCCCCGTCCAGGCCTCCAGACACCTCACGCCTACCACAAATAAACAGGTACAACTGCGGCGACTGCTTGGAAGATGTTGCCAATTCCCAGGCGAAAAGCGTTTAATCCACCAATAACTTTTCTAAGTCTCAAGTTCCCGACAAAGAGTTTATGATCGCTGTCATACAATGCACATATTTACTTTCGCTTGCAGATGTTAAGTCACCCTAGATCCCGATTCCGCAATTAAAGTTGGTACAGTCAGTGTTGACACTAGACAGCTATAAGAAACATGTCAACATAGCCTCCCGCTGTGTCGCCATCATAGATTTGTTCGTAAATATTTAAATGGGAATTGTTTTAGGATCTGTGAGAGCGTCAGGTTTATGGACCCCACTTTCACATACACCAGAGTGTGTTAGTGAGGCATCTTATCAGGAAGGGACAACGGAGGCCATAAAATAGCAGAAGGTAGTGTCAGTGTTTCAAGGGCTTGTAAAATGCCGAGTAGTCTGGGACGCCTATGTCTCCTAAGTGTTAAACTACAGGGAAAAAGTGACCTCTAAGTGTTACAATACAGGAAAAAGTGGGTGTGGTCCCTAAGCATCACCTCGTTGAACGCATACACACACACACACACATGAGAACTTTCAAATTGATTAATTGAACACATTGCAACAGTTGTCACCCTCAAACCCTCCGTATCAAGAGGGAGGAGTTTTCTCTAACGAACGAATAAGTAATTTATCCCCATTTCAATGCCATATCTCAGAATTCATTCATTTTTTAGTCACTCCTGTTTCGTTTTTTGTTCCCTCGATTGATCTTAATATAATGAAAACAAACATCGCTCGTACAAAATGCTACCTAAAATTCCCTCCGACAGAACAAATTAACGCTAGATGAAGATGAATGCAGTCAATATGTCTACAGAAAGTGTAATGTGGAAGAAAGGAATGCACCAATATAAAACTCGAGTTGTTTTCAGACAAATATCGATGCCGTTCACCCCCCCGTGAAGAACCTGCGGCCCTGTTGTGGCTGTATATAGGAATCAAGGTCAACACCAGTCAGTACAGGTAGCATAGTTGCAGCACTACTCCTGCTCATTGTTTGCACGACCTTTACAGGCATTACATGCACCATCACTGTTTGTTGTCGGCAAGCTTTCACTGTCCGAAACCTCCAAACACACATTTCGGTTATGCTTGATAAATGTTCTTGGCAGCTGTATATTTGGTAACTGGCAGATGTTGTGGAATTACTGTTAAAATTGAAATGCATCTTAAAAAAAAATAATGTAAGAAATTTTTAATGGAAATATACCAACATGATAAATTCTTTGCGATTTAACGTTTAAAAGACGTACTAATACAAGTTCTCTTACAAAATTAAGAGTAATACACAAAGTAGAAACTCAGAAGTCTAGAGCAAAACAAAAAATAACCCTTCACCCGTTCGGTTGCTTGTTGTCTGCCAAGTGGGAAGGGAAGATGCTTGACTCCCCGTGGTAGGTACTGACCATCCATTTATTAACGCGTTAATCTCATGATAAAAATTATGTTTTGAAGGAATCTCTCAATGTGTTTTAGACCACCAAGGAAGACTTTTGTGTCATGTACTTTACTACTCATATCATTTTGGTTGAATTTCAGTATTATCGAATAGTTAAAAAAACAAAATAGTATGTAGTCACTTAGAGAATTGCACAGCGGAGGACAATTAAGCCACCGCTGAATTCTTCTAACACATTACACAAACATTTTACTGATGACTGTGCTGAAGCCTTTAGCGTAGTCTTACCTGTTGTGGTGCAGATGCTGACGAGTTCGGAGTTGGGCTGAGCGGGTGTTAGAGTGACTATGACTCCTGCTGGACAACTGGGAGATACCCACCCCAGCCTCTTGTATAAACCCACCTCCCTTAACCCGTCTCATACCTCCCCACCTACCTTACCGCTCCTACCCACCTCCCCACCTCCTGTGACCCGTCTCATACCTCCCCACCTACCTTACCGCTCCTCATCCACCTCCCCACCTCCTGTGCCCCTTCCTCCATCCCACATAACTTGCTCCATCTGTTCGTCTGTTTTCTTGCCAGGACGAAGTATTGTGTCAGTTCGATCCAGTCTGAGGATTATGTGTATTTATTACTTTTCCAGTGGGTTTTGAGGTGTCGCTAGCATAGAATTATTACTATTATTATTAATAGTAGTAGTAGTAGTAGTAGTAGTAGTATCAAATACAACTTCGAAAAAATCCTTAGCTAATACAACCCAAACTCAAGACAATTTCGTTTGGAGTCTGTGACGTTAGTTTGTACATAAACCGGTCAGTGGTAACTTAAGAACATAAGAACATAAGAATGGGGGAAACTGCCGGTACGCGGAGAGTTTTCAGAAAAGAAAGAAACTATAATCACGTTCCACACCACGTGACACTGCCGGGACATCTGACTCGGTCTTTTTTTTTTTACATTTTCATTGTAGTTTTTATATTTATTATGGCTATATTTTTCATTTACTCACTCATGTTAAAAGTCATTGCTATGCAACTAACGAATGCGATATAATGAACAGCAAAACAGAGAACTGAAATACGTATAACAACACCTTCATGATGGTGTGGCGTTTGACTCTGTGGGAACCACACCCGATATATAACTAGGGCGCATAGAACATAAGAACATAAGAACATAAGAAAGTGGGATACTGCAGGAGGCCGACTGGCCCATACAGGGCAGATCCCTTTCACACCCATCCCAGCACTTCCATGTGCCTATCCAACTTCGTCTTGAAGCTCCCTAGCGTCCCCGATCCTACTATAGCACTCGGTAGCCTATTCCACATATCCACAACTCTATTACCAAACCAGTGCTTGCCTATATCCTTTCTGAATCGGAATTTATCTAATTTAAAAGCCATTTGTTCTAGTTATTTCGTTATTACTGAGCTTCAGAACATCTTCCATTTTACCCTTGTTAATCCCACTTACCCACTTGTACACCTCTATCATATCTCCCTAACTCTACGCCTCTCTAATGAATGTAAGCCTAAGCTTTTCAGTCTTTCTTCATATGGAAGGTTTCTAATATTATGGATCATTTTGTCATTCTTCTTTGTACTCTCTCCAAAGAATCTATGTCCATTCTATAATAAGGACACCAGAACTGAACCGCATAATCCATGTGTGGCCTCACTAATGCTAGGTAAAGTTTCAAGATAACGTCAGCAGTTCTGTTACTCACAGACCTAGATATGAACCCAAGAATCCTGTTTGCCTTGTTGCGAACGCTAATACATTGTTTTCTAGGTTTCAAGTCGTTGCTAACAAATACACCTAGATCTTTTTCACAAACTGAGTTTTCTATTTCCGTGTTACCTAGTTTATACTTAACGTTTGTATTCGTCTTCCCTATCTGTAGTACCTTGCATTTATCAGTATTAAAATTCATTTGCCAGTCTACTGACCACTCATGTAAGGTATCTAGATCTCTTTGAAGGTGTTCAAAGTCACTGTCTGAATTTATCACTCTCCCCATTTTGGTATCATCTGCAAATTTACTAATCCTACTAGTTATGCCTAAATCAAGATCATTAATGAATATAACAAACAGCAGAGGGCCTAATACAGATCCCTGGGAACTCCGCTTTTGACCGCACCCCAGTCTGACTTTAATCCATTTATGCTGACTCTTTGTTTCCTACCAGTTAACCATGACCTAATCCATTTTAATACTGATCCACCTATTCCATGTGCTTCTACCTTCCTTATCAATCTCTCATGAGGGACTCTATCGAATGCTTTACTGAAATCTAAATAAATTATATCATATGACTTATCATTATCTACCGCTTCATATACTTCTGAGAAAAAGCTAAGCAAATTTGTGAGACAAGAACGTCCCTGGGTGAACCCGTGCTGAGAAGAATGAATTAAGTTGAATGTTTCAAGGTGGCTTCTGATTTTTGTAGCAATAATTGACTCTAGCAACTTGCCTATGATTGACGTGAGACTAATGGGACGGTAATTTGATGCTATTGATTTATCACCCTTTTTGAAAATCGGAACTACATTTGCAAGTTTCCAAGCTTCTGGCACTAGGCCCGATTCTAATGACTTATTAAATAAAACTGCTAATGGATTACTCAACTCATCTCTACATTCTTTTAATATTCTAGCATATACCTCGTCTGGACCAGGCGATTTATGAGGCTTCAGTTTGTTAATTACTTTAAGTACATCGTTACTAGTAATATTGATATTCATCAACATATTTTCTATACTGTTGTTATATACCTTATGAACTTCTGGAAACTGTGCTAGGTTTTCATTTGTGAATACGGAGCGAAAATGACTATTTAACGTACTACACATTTCTAACTCATCATCAGTCATTTCTCCTGTCGTAGTTTTAAGGGGACCTATTGTATCTCTAACCTTTGATTTATACAGTTGATAAAGAGCTTTGGGGTTATTTTTCGATTCGTTTGCTACCTTGATTTCATAATTTCTCTTTGCTTTCCTAATTTCTGTTTTTACCTGTCTTGTTAGGTTCTGATAGTAACCAAGTAAGTGATTTTCGCCTTTCTTAACTTTTCTATATACTCCTTTCTTTTTCCCTAGAAGATCTAAGAGTCTATTATTCATCCATTTTGGTTGGTTCCTTATCGATCTGAATTTTCTTGTGTTGCAAGAATTGCCACGTATCTCGGCCACCAGTTGCGCCATATCCACCCAAAACATAAATCTTTTTATTTTAAGTATGGTAGTTATTTAATTTCGGATAAAATAAATGTATGCATCCCATTAAAAGAAATGGCCGATTATTTACTATGCGTGCCAGCCGTGAAGGGTGTCACACAGCTGGCAACCCTGCTATTTCACACGTGTGGATCAGCAGTCTGTGATGTCAGGTCACAGGTCAGTGGTTACATAAGAACATAAGAATGTAGGAAACTGCAGCGGGCCTATTGGCCCATACTGGGCAGTCCCGTTTATACCAAACCCCTATTGCTCATATAAGCATCCAACCTATGTTTGAAGCTAATCAGCGTATTCGAGTTAATGATAATATTTGGTAACTTGTTCCATTCATCCACTAATCTGTTTCCAAACCAGTGTTTACCTATTTCCCGCCTAAATCTAAATTTGTCTAATTTAAAACCATTGTTACGAGTTCGCTCCTGGTTGGATAGTTTGAGTACCTTTGTAATAAGAACATAAGAAAATAAGGAGTCTGCAATCGGCCGGTTGGCCTGTGCATGGCAGCTCCTGTCGAGAGTTACTACCACTCTCTATCATCCATGAATCTATCTAGCCTCCTTTTGAAACTTTCCAGAGTTACCGCACTTACTACAAAGTTGCTAAGCTTGTTCCACTCGTCCACCACCCTATTTGTGAACCAGTTTCTTCCTATCTCCCTCCTAAACCTAAACTTATCCAACTTGAATCCGTTGCTCCGAGTCCTATCCTGCTCGGATATTATAAGAACTTTATCTATATCCCCTTTATTGATTCCTTTCACCCACTTAAATACTTCTATCATATCTCCCCGCACTCTTCGTCTTTCTAGGGAATGCAAGTTAAGATTCTTTAACCTATCTTGATATGGAAGGTTTCTAAGTCCCGGAATCATTTTTGTCATTCTTCGCTGCACCGACTCAAGTGAATTTATATCCATTCTATAATAGGGGCACCAGAACTGAACCGCATAATCGAGGTGCGGCCTAACTAGTGCAAGATATAGTTGCAATAAGACCTCTGCACTCTTGTTGCTTACACTTCTAGATATAAAACCCAATACTCTGTTTGCCTTGTTTCGAACATTAACGCACTGTTTTCTAGGCCGTAGGTCCGGGCTTACAAGTACCCCTAGGTCTCTTTCACAAGTCTCTTTCACATCCAGTACAACATGTATATAGAGAGCACATTGTGAGTTTCCTTTCTCCATTCCATCCTGACTGTGAACCAAACATCCTGAACCCCACAGTAGACTTGACTAACACTGCCGCAGGTACAAATGCACTCGATGTGGAGCAGGGCTATCGGGGTTCCCGATTCTTGTTTACCGAACACGCTGATTGGTTCAACTGCTCGCGTTGCGATTGGTTGCGAGAACATGACGTAATATTACGATTTTCTAACAAAGAATGTGTGGTGAGGGTAACGAAGATCCCAGATACGGTAATGTGTGGTGAGGGTAACGAAGATCCCAGATACGGTAATGTGTGGTGAGGGTAACGAAGATCCCAGATACGGTAATGTGTGGTGAGGGTAACGAAGATCCCAGATACGGTAATGTGTGGTGAGGGTAACGAAGATCCCAGATACGGTAATGTGTGGTGAGGGTAACGAAGATCCCAGATACGGTAATGTGTGGTGAGGGTAACGAAGATCCCAGATACGGTAATGTGTGGTGAGGGTAACGAAGATCCCAGATACGGTAATGTGTGGTGAGGGTAACGAAGATCCCAGATACGGTAATGTGTGGTGAGGGTAACGAAGATCCCAGATACGGTAATGTGGTGAGGGTAACGAAGATCCCAGATACGGTAATGTAGAGGGTGAAGATCCCAGATACGGTGTGTGGTGAGGGTAACGAAGATCCCAGATACGGTAATGTGTGGTGAGGGTAACGAAGATCCCAGATACGGTAATGTGGTGATACGAAGATTCCAGATACGGTAATGTGGTGAGGGTAACGAAGATCCCAGATACGGTAATGTGTGGTGAGGGTAACGAAGATCCCAGATACGGTAATGTGTGGTGAGGGTAACGAAGATCCCAGATACGGTAATGTGTGGTGAGGGTAACGAAGATCCCAGATACGGTAATGTGTGGTGAGGGTAACGAAGATCCCAGATACGGTAATGTGTGGTGAGGGTAACGAAGATCCCAGATACGG